TAAATTTTCTGTTTCTTGGAAATTAAGCTGTTTAGGTTCTCAAACATTCAAGGTTCTTATTTTCTTAAGGAAAAAAGACTTTTTGTAAGAATGTTGGAGGTTTTAAATGTTTGTACAAAATATGCATGTTGTTATGTCTAAATGACTGCAATTTAAGCCAATAGAAATTTTTTTTGCCATTAGAATGATTAGTGGACTTTAAGAACTCCATAGCGATCTGTTTTAACATTTCTACTTCATCTGGTTCTTTCAAAATCTTAGCCTGAAGAATTCTGGTTCTTATCTGTGCCTCTCCTCTGTGTCACTAACCTGACATAATAATGAGTGACACGTGCATGTTTCACTGTACAGTATTTTTCAGATGAAATAAAATACTGATTTGGATTGTTTTTGTTGTATTGGGGGTAATTAGAGACTTAGTGAAAACTATACACTGTAATTTTCAGGGAGTTATAATAACTCCTCTAGTGGGGCTAATTTAACTCCTTACAGTGGAGTTATTTTTCGTGGAGTTATTTTAACTCCAAAAAGGAGTTTAAAGAACTCTTTTTCAGGAGTAAAAGTGACCACAGATTTTGAGGAGTTAAAATAACCCCAAAAAAGGAGTTATCCTGTACCTAAAATTTTTACTCCACTTTCAGAGTTAAATTAACTCCAAAAAGAGTGAAAACAACCCCTTTAAGGAGTACAAGTAACCCCATTTCGGAGTAATTTTAACTCCACGACTGGGAGTAAAAGAACTCTTTTTCAGGAGTAAAATGACCCCAAATTCGGAGTTTAATTAGGAGTTAAAATAACCCCAAAAAGGGGTTATCCTGTACCTAAAATTTTTACTCCATTTTTGGAGTTATAATAACTCCCTAAAAATTACGGTGTATATTATATATGTAAATTATTTTTATGAAATGTCATTTTTTATCATAGATATTTTTCATTAAAGAAAACCAGGGAGGAGCAGCGTGGAAGTCAACAGAAGTAAGTTTATTATTTATTTTATTTCTTGTTTTTTCTTTTACTCGCTTTAGAAAGGACTTCCGGTTTTTTTTTTTTTTTTTGTCCGAGGGGAACCGGTTCTAGTTTTGAAAGGTTCGAGTTTGCGCGGTATCTTTCTCCTTTCAACGGCTCTCTTCGTGAATGGAGAGGTTTTGATCGGAGCGTGTGCGAAACGGGGACTAATATGAGCCGAGTTTGGCAAGAAATTCTATTTCCACGGTTTGCAAAGTGCCTGGGACATCATTAAGTCCGGGAAGGCTTAAATGGGCGCTCGTTGCTCAAAGAACCGAGCTTCGGGCACAATCCGAGAGACCATCCGGTGGATGGTGTATAACGTCTCTGCCCAGCTCTGCACACCGTGAAGAAGTCTCCAGCAGGCAATAAGGGGCAAATTGGTTAGTTTGGACATAAGAAAAGAGGGCCAACGAAGTATTTGGCTGTGATTTTTGCCTTGCTGGAGACTTCTAAATTGTGTTGTTATTGCCAGGATGTAATGTGTCCCGCACGAGTTGAACACGGATTTCCCAGAATGCACTGCGAGAAAGGTTAACAACATGTTTAATATTTGACCATTACAGTGAGACTGTTCTGTTGTTGTGTTTCAGTTTCTACGACGGAGGTGCTGATCTTTGAATAAGCGAGCAACAACGGTGAGTAGCAGGCTTTTTGCCAGGAAAGGTTATGTTACAAAGTCGTGAAAGTGTAGTTGAAGTCAAAGTCTGTGGTTTCGTATAGCGAAGGTTTATTTTTGGTCATGTGTCGAGCGACTCTGGAAATTTACTGTGTCCAAAAAGAGCCGCCGTCCTACTGCACAGGCTGAATTGTCGTTCATTTTCAATTTATTGTTGGCATTGCAAGCTAAATGCTGATCGGATCGCGGAAGAGTAACTATTTTTCCTCAAAGCATGTTAAAGTTCCCGCGCTATAGCACCGTCGCGACGACGAGCGCCGTTTATGCTTGATTGTCTGGAATGTTCGGTACAATGTTTTTAATCTGCTTTATGCACCGGTACGGGCGATTATAAAACCATTGCGGGACGAAACTGATCTAGGGAAAATGATGTAAAAGAGATATATTACTTTTTAAACATGTGTTGAGGAATTTTCTTTAAACAAGGTTTTCCTTTTGTCCTTTTCTTTCAGATGTGGCCGTTGGTTTTACTCGCCACCTCGGAGCTGGAATATTTACTCTCTGAAATGTTTATATTATCTGTGCTCTGCTGTGGTCAAACACGAAGAAAGCGAAGCGAAACGTCTTGTAAGATAACGTTAATTTAAAACTATTTGCTTGACCAGTGTTTAGTCTTCGAAAATCGCCTGTATTGAAACTACATCTCTGTATTTCTCACCTCCTGACCCGTCTTTTGAAATTCAATCCTACGCTCAGTACGGCGATGTAATTGATATGTAACGCAACGTTATTTGGTATCCTGCCCAGAAGTCCCTCAAACGTTAACCCTCAACAAACTGTACTTCTTGTTTGTAACCTTTATCCTTATTTAACCCTAAGCCTTAGCTCAACTTTAGCTATCCACCCTAACCAGCTTAACGTAACACCCTTTTCCTGACAAGGCGAACGTTTAACTCAGTGGATCAACTCATGTGTTATGACCATTGAAATCAGTTGAGACTGCTCGTCTAACCCTAACCCTCCAACCTAACCCTAACCTCCAACTTAACCCTAACCTATTCCTAACCCTAACCTCCAACCTAACCCTAACCTATTCCTAACCCTAACCTCCAACCTAACCCTAACCTATTCCTAACCCTAACCCCCAACCTCGACCTAATCTGATTCTAACCCTAACCTATCCCTAGTCCTTACCCTAACCTAACCCTAACCCCAACCTTAACCTTAACCCTAAAACCCTAACCCTAACTCTTCCTCCCCCCCCCCCCCCTGCTCTTACATTTAGTAGTATACAGTAAGGACTAAGTAATAGGTGCTTTTCGAAGTTAGCCTCAAAAGGCTCTTATAAATTTTCTGTTTCTTGAAATTAAGCTGTTTAGGTTCTCAAACATTCGAGGTTCTTATTTTCTTAAGGAAAAAAGACTTTTTGTAAGAATGTTGGAGGTTTTAAATGTTTGTACAAAATATGCATGTTGTTATGTCTAAATGACTGCAATTTAAGCCAATAGAAATTTTTTTTGCCATTAGAATGATTAGTGGACTTTAAGAACTCCATAGCGATCTGTTTTAACATTTCTACTTCATCTGGTTCTTTCAAAATCTTAGCCTGAAGAATTCTGGTTCTTATCTGTGCCTCTCCTCTGTGTCACTAACCTGACATAATAATGAGTGACACGTGCATGTTTCACTGTACAGTATTTTTCAGATGAAATAAAATACTGATTTGGATTGTTTTTGTTGTATTGGGGGTAATTAGAGACTTAGTGAAAACTATACACTGTAATTTTCAGGGAGTTATAATAACTCCTCTAGTGGGGCTAATTTAACTCCTTACAGTGGAGTTATTTTTCGTGGAGTTATTTTAACTCCAAAAAGGAGTTTAAAGAACTCTTTTTCAGGAGTAAAAGTGACCACAGATTTTGAGGAGTTAAAATAACCCCAAAAAGGAGTTATCCTGTACCTAAAATTTTTACTCCACTTTCAGAGTTAAATTAACTCCAAAAGAGTGAAAACAACCCCTTTAAGGAGTACAAGTAACCCCATTTCGGAGTAATTTTAACTCCACGACTGGGAGTAAAAAGAACTCTTTTTCAGGAGTAAAAATGACCCCAAATTCGGAGTTTAATTAGGAGTTAAAATAACCCCAAAAAAGGGGTTATCCTGTACCTAAAATTTTTACTCCATTTTTGGAGTTATAATAACTCCCTAAAAATTACGGTGCACTGTAATTTTCAGGGAGTTATAATAACTCCTCTAGTGGGGCTAATTTAACTCCTTACAGTGGAGTTATTTTTCGTGGAGTTATTTTAACTCCAAAAAGGAGTTTAAAGAACTCTTTTTCAGGAGTAAAAGTGACCACAGATTTTGAGGAGTTAAAATAACCCCAAAAAAGGAGTTATCCTGTACCTAAAATTTTTACTCCACTTTCAGAGTTAAATTAACTCCAAAAAGAGTGAAAACAACCCCTTTAAGGAGTACAAGTAACCCCATTTCGGAGTAATTTTAACTCCACGACTGGGAGTAAAAAGAACTCTTTTTCAGGAGTAAAAATGACCCCAAATTCGGAGTTTAATTAGGAGTTAAAATAACCCCAAAAAAGGGGTTATCCTGTACCTAAAATTTTTACTCCATTTTTGGAGTTATAATAACTCCCTAAAAATTACGGTGTGCCTTTTGTTTGTTGTTTGATACTGATTTTAGTAGTTCTCGGAAATTCTGAGAATCTCGGTCGTAAGTGGTACCTTTGCTGATCTTTGCTCAACGTAATGGCCTTCTAGTCAATATAGTTTTTATAGTGTAGAGACAGTTTAAATTGCAAGCTAGTGACTGAATTTTAGCGGTTGCATTTTTTTTCTTTTTTACGACTTACAGACTGATCAATTAACAGAGGAGCAGATTGCTGGTATGTGTTTTTTGTAGGGAGAGCATTGAATTAATTTGAAAGACTTAGCATTGAAACTTTGAACTGAAGACTTTGTCAAGTTTTCGCTCTCTTGTGTTGGTCAGACAGTCAGTAACGGTCGGTATACTATTGAGGTCATAGTCACTGGATGTCACCATGGCCAGCACTCCAAATTAACTTATTCAACTATAAATTTTCAAAGTGTGATATTTTTCGTCTTTATTTTTGCACAATTTTATATAAATTTCCGGACACTTTTGTGGTATGGAAAGGTCAAGAAGCTATACAATTGTCAATAACTTTTTAAAGAGATTTTGCTTGGCTAGTCATGGTAATCATACCTTGTGGAAAACTTAGCTTTTTTCAGGGAATACTTTGGTGCAATCAATCTGACTGTAAAAAAAGAGGTAGTCCACTAATTGACTTCCTGAAATCAAAAATTGTCTTGAATTAATTTTAATTAATTAATTTCCTCTTTTAGAATTCAAGGAAGCTTTTTCTTTATTTGACAAGGATGGAGATGGTATGATCACCCCTAAAGAGCTGGGGACAGTGATGAGATCTCTGGGACAGAACCCGACGGAAGGGGAACTTCAGGATATGATCAACGACGTTGACACCGATGGTGAGTTAGTGTTGGTCATAGCATGATTTGTATAGTGATATTTGGCATAAATACCACAAGTGATATTTCGAAATTGTTATACGTAATTTCACGAGCCGTTAGGTTAGTTAGTAAAAGTAGTAGCATAATTTTTAGTGATATTTGGCATAAATACCACGACTGATATTTCAGCTTATTTCGAAATTGTTATAAATAATTTCACCGGCCGTTAGGCGAGTGAAATGTGAGACAATTTTTGGATCACGAGTGGTATTTATGCCAAATATCATGTACAAATCATGCTATATATTGTTTATACGACTGCCCGCTAAAAGTTTGTAATTTTTACATAAACGTATTTCAAATTAAGCTGAAATACCATGCTCTAAGCCAATCAAATCGCAGAAATTTCTCATGTACTAGTATAAATGAATTAACAGTATGGTCAATCTCAGTCTCTACGAAAACGGACCGGGACCAGCACTAAGCCTCCGTCTTAGAGAGAGATGTCCATCTTATAGGGGTCAAATAAAGAGACGAGTAATGAAAGGCAGGCACCAACTATAGCTGTCCGTTTTACAGAGTTGTCCGTCTTATAAAGGTGTTGTCACTGCACCGTCAAATCCCTCTAAGATGAACTCTTTTATAAGACCCACGCCTCTGTAAAGGGGACACCTAGATTTGGTCCCTGCCTTTCATTGCTCGTCCCTTTATTTGACTCTCTATAAGACGGACATTTCTTTCTATGTGTCCGTGCCTCTTAGAAAGGGTCAACTAAAAGGAGAAAGAAAGGCAGGGACCAACTCTAGCTGTCCGTTTTAGCAAGGTGTCCATTAAGAGTGAGGTGAATGTATACAGTCGAACCTCCACTAACGGCCACCTCTCCACAACGGCTACTTTTTTGTCCCGGCGCGGACATTCCGCACACATTAACTCATGTTTAAATCTCTCTACAACGGCAAAGGCCATTAAAGCAGGTCCACACTGCCAAAATGACCTCTCGAAAAAGGCAATTTTTTTTCATTTGACTGATGGAAAAGTCAAGAATGGTTGCGAAATTTGCTCCTTATGGCGCGTTGATGATTAATCGTGGCAATCGCATTTTGATTGTGTTCCATTCACGTACTGCTGCAGAAAGCATAAATTGTACATCGGATCCACGATAGTATGGGACTTGTGACAGTAAGCATGAACTGACGTTGTACTCCCTCAAAAAAATTGTCATATTTATTAACCTCTACCTCCCCACAATGGCCATTTTCTGTTTCCAAGGTGTGGAGAGATTCGACTGTATTAAGATTCCGGAGATCGATCTCAGTCTCTCTCTAGCTCTCCGTTGGTAAGTTGGTGACGATGTCTAATTCTCTCCTGCAAACCCTGCAGAGCTGGCATTACGCATTAAAATGGCAGTCGCATCTCCTGTGCAGAACACAAAACAATGCCCTCAATACAGCTTTGCGCTAAATTTAATTTTATATTTGCGTAATCAGGAAATGGGAAAATTGACTTCCCTGAGTTCCTTACTATGATGGCGGGAAAAATGAAAGACTATGAAGGCGAGATGGAAATAAAAGAGGTCTTTCGAGTTTTTGATAAGGATGGCAATGGCTTCATCAGCGCTGCTGAGTTGCGACTAGTCATGAGTAACCTAGGAGAGAAACTTACGGATGAAGAAGTAGATGAGATGATCAGAAAAGCTGACATTGATGGTGATGGACAAGTCAATTATGAAGGTGAGAGCATCCACGGTAAAATAGTTTCTGCCACGCCCCTAACACCCCAAGTTCACTCAACAATAAATAGCTCGGTCGCTCATGATCATCAGCACGTTAAAATTATACCGGTCGGGCAATTGGATCTAACATGTAAGTGGCAAGTGGCAACACAAAAATTCAAGTACGTCAACTTAAGAAGAAAAATTTTTTATCTTGTCTTCTCACTTTGATCTCCTTCGCAGCCGTTCTTTGTGTCGTAACGCAACGTATTTGGCCATCGTTTATTTGCGCCTTTACACCTTAATTCATCCCTATCAACTTACAAAAATACTGTTCTCAGTATTTTAAGCTGCATAGTGCAAAATATTTAGCATACATCTCGTTTTATTTTCTCTAGAATTTTTAAAGATGATGACCGGCGAATAACTTCATGAGGCAGCACGATTTCTTGGTGTACTATAATAGATGTGGCCGCAGCAAGACCGCTTGATGTTCTGTCTAATTACTTCTCACCAGAATCTCGCGCTATACCGTCTCAATGCTGCGTGTCAACTTCATTGTGATTTGTGCTTCCGACAGTACAACTTTTAATTTTTGTGCCAGGATAAAAAGTTGCATTGTAATCTGCGTCACTCATAATATGCGTTGTATTTTAAGTCCTTATGGAAAAGCACTTTTACACTTGTTTAATAAATCAATGTAACTTATTTCATTACCAAATGATCGGTGTGGTGTCAATAATATTACTCCGAAAAAGTGATCGATTTATTTGATGGACTTGATGATACCTTCCGGGACATTCTAATTCAATGGATGCGTACACCGACACATCACAGGGAGATTTGCAATCACGCTTTGAAATAGCCTGTGTACAGAAGTCCCCCCTCCCTCACGTCTGTACACAGGCTAGCTTTGAAAGAGAAAACACTTAATTTTCGGACGTTCAAGCAGTGGTGGATGCCACCCCCCCCTCCCCCCTCCCCCACGCTCCCCTCCTCTCTGAGGTTTTTCTGAGTTTTCCCCTGATGACGTTAATCAAATTGGAGGTTCGGCAACTAGTTTTCCCGCTCTGTGCCCTGTCCATCGGAAGGATTTGTTCTTTGATGTTCCGTTCTGTAATGTAAACTTTCCACGTTTTAACTCTCAAGTTTTTCTTTTACATTCTTGTAAAAAATCGTTTAGTCTTGCCTTGGTAGTGTCATTCCCATCCCCGTCCGAGTCGCTGAATTGCACATGATGTACAAGTTAAACGCACAGAAATGTTTATTCTCGCAATGCCCGCGTATAGTACCAGCTTGCTAAAGAGTCTCGTGACAGATCCACCTGCTAGGGACAAGTACTTGAGGTCACACATGTAGAAGTGGTTGTGTGTGGGTCTACCTGTGCTTAGGTGAAAAGAATTGACGGGGATCAGGAGATGGGAGGAGGAACGCTGTCATTTCTTCAATTAGAAGTGATCGATGAGTATTTATTTATGGGCCCTATCTTCACAACAAAACTCTTTGACTGATAGATAAACGGGAATTGGGAATTGAAATCGGGAAGAGAGTCTCTCTCCCCCTTTTTTTCTGAGGGGAGGGGGGCGTCTGTACACAGGCTAGAATGATGAAGAAAAAAAGCCCTTCTGAATTGATGCAGGTGATGTCAAAATTGAGTTGAAAAAGTAATAAGAAAAAATTGAAGCTTTCCTTATGAAATGGATCTTTGCCATTTACGAAGGTGTGGAAGAGGGTAGGGGTGTTTATTTGCCTGCAGGTTGACGGAAGGGCGCGTATAAGATTAGAGAAAGTATAAAATACATTTTTGCTTATTTAATTGCAACTCACCCCATGTAAGGATATCCGAGACAGGCTTGGATTTTGGATTCCCCCCCGTGGATTCCGGTTTCCAGGAACTGTGTTCAATTCTTTGTCAGTGTAACTTGGATTCTGGATTACAACTGTTACTGGGATTCCGGATTTCATTAGCTATATATCGTATTCCAAAGCCCAGGATTCCAGATTCCACAAGCCAAATTTTCCTGGATTCGGAAATCCGAATTCCCTTACATTGGGCTATGCAACAGCTAGGCGTGGCCACAGCGACGCAAACTGAACGACGCATTTATCATGATGCAAGGCCTAATAGGGCTTCCCTTTTAATAAGAAGCCAATAAAAAGAATGCCAAAATTTACCCACCGTAATAAATATTTAAAAAGTTTTTAACTTCACTAATGAACGGTGACTAGACTATTGGTTGCAGACATTTGGCTAAGGCAGGAGAATTTGAATCTCAAAATGGTAAGTTCAGTTTATTTAACACTAAATATTGTTCTCTCTAGCCTAAGTATGCACCTCACGAATTGTGATTTATGCTAAGGTTAGATTGAACTGGCTTGCGTCAATAATATCTTCCATTCGTCTTGTAACTTGTGATGAACTGTTACACTGACCGTGAGAATTAATACTTTTTTTAGCGAATGACTTGAAAGGCTTTGCTTTCTGCGCTGAAAATATTACATTGCCGTGAAAGGACGAGAGACAAGGAAAAGTAAAGGCGTTCTTAACAACCTACTTAATGCCTTGCTTAGTTGGAATCCTTTAAGATCCAGAAACGGTGTGTGCATGCCTAGCCGATCGCTCAAAAAAATCTACTAAGTCGTGTGAAATCTCAATACACATGAATGAAGAATAAAACAAAACAAAAAATGCTCACTATAGGTTTGATTGTCGAAGCCTGTAATACCGATTATATTCTAAGGCTGGCCTGAATATTAGTCTGTACACCAAGCCCTAAAGTAAATTAAAAATTCCCGTTTCAATTAATTATTTATTTTTAATCATCGAATTTGTATTCATCTGTACGTCGTGAACTTAGAACTCGATGCGCTTGGCTTTGATATATATATTTTTCCACTTTATTTATTTTCGATGAAGCAGAAAATTATTTGCAGAGTAGTGACACACCAAATAATACAATGGAAAATTTGGCACTTAATAAAGATTGAACACGCCTTGACCGGTGGTTATGTTAGGGTTATGAATGTTTAATGATTCTGCTCGAAGTTATTTTCTGTTTTTATTTTCTCATTTCGGCCTGTTTTGGGAACTTCTGGAGAAAATGTTCTTTTTGTACGGAACAACCCTAATTTCATTAAAAGCCTAAGAAAGCGACTATACCGGGTTGTTAAGTGATATCAAAGAACGATTATCGACATCGATTGCACCCTCAAATTTGTGATTCATTATTACAGTTACAATTTTGTATATTACAATTAATACGTAAATAATCATAATCATGTTTTCTGGGTTGCAAGCTAAAAAGTAGCCAGATAAAAAAGCATTAACTTTAGGGAAAGATAAGCTATTCTGCCGGGAATAAGAATTAAGGAAAAAAAACAAATAATGAATAAATGAATGAATGAATAAAATAAATAAATAAATAAGTAAATAAATAAATAAATCAGACAAATGGATAAATAAGCTTCGTGTGTCTTCGCGAGTAAAATGCTACGTTTTACATATTTAGTTTTACACCTAGAAGACAGTGTTAGGTTTAATTTGCCTTCCACACAAGTAACACCCATTATGTTTCAAATTAGGATAAGTACTGAGTTTAAGTAAGGTAGAGACGCTTAGCTTGTGGAAGTAATCTTTGTCACTAATGATTACAACTGTATCTTTTGCTTCAAGGGTGATCATAATCTTACTGATGAACAAATTGCAGGTATGGATTTTACACATTATTAGATTCTAGCTTTTTACAGCGTGCTCTTTAACTGATATTAAGTAGAAAAACCCATCCCTTAACTTGTTTTCTTGTTACTAGTCCTACGTATTTCATCGAGATCTTTCTATTTGGGTCATGTGGAGGGTCGTGGAAATAAATTGACGGTTAACAGAAAACCATACTGATATTTAGTACAAAATGTTTCAACATGTTTGTTCAAGTTTTAAGAAAAGGTTGTCTTTTCAGAGAATTGAGAAAGTCCCAACTACACATTGATTACTCTTTGCACGTTTTTTCTTTTCTAAAGAAATCAAGGAAGTTTTTTCGTGTTATGACAAAGATGGAGATGGTACAATCACCACGGAAGAGCTGGGAACAGTGATGAGATCTCTTGGACAGAATCCAACAGAAGCAGAACTTCAGGATATGGTGAATGAGTTGGATACGAATGGTAATTAAGTGTTCGCCTCAATGTTCTGTCGATCGCTTGGCAGGATAAAAGTTGTCTGTAGGAACAAGCAAATTCTGAAAAACCTAATGATAATGATCTGTTTTTGGCATTGTTCACGCTTCTTTAAATTACATTCAATTATCCAGTTTGCCTTTGGTTTTAAGTTGTCCCATTTGACTGGAAATGTGTCATTACTTTTATGGGTTCTTTAAACAAAGCCAAGCAAAGTTCAGCATTGTGGTTGAGGGTTCAGATCCATCGATGGATGCCTGTCAGCCATTTTTTCTAAACTTAAAATATCCAAAGATGTCAGAAGCCTTAAAGGCTTCTGTAAGTACTGCAAATCATGCAAGTTCGCTTTGGTATGCAAATGTGGCATTTACCATCTTTGCCCCATACTACAGCTCTATTTTTTTGTCGAGTGTTTCTCCTCTGTAAACAGCATTCGGCGTATCTTCAAAGAAAAAGGATATCTTTATTGGTCACATAAGTAAAAAAAAAAAGCTCCGTACTTTCGAGTCTCCACTGAATTACGCAGTTAAACATTACCAGGTGTTGACACTTTTTGCTATATTCCAGCAATTTAAATCAATAACTAACTAATGATTAGCTAGTGCTGAAGGTTTATTCATACAATACCCCCCTAAACCGGACGTAGGGGGCATACAGTCAAGGTGTTACTGTGTATTCCTTTATTATTTTTTTAATAGGTAATGGAAAAATCGAGTTTGATGAGTTTCTACCTATGATGTGTCGGAAAATGAAGGAAGTATACTTAGCTGAGGTATTAAGGGAGACGTTCAAAATTTTCGATAAGGACGGCAATGGTTATATTAATGCTTCTGAGCTGAAAGAACTCATGGAAAAACTGGGAGAAAAACTATCAGATGAAGAAATAGAGAAGATGATCGCCGAAGCAGATTTGGACGAAGACGGAAAAGTCAGTTACAAAGGTATGTATGTCCCATTAGAAGTGTATGAATTGTTATGTTAAGTAGATTATTCTCCCAAAGTGGGACCCACTGAAACTCGAAAAGACAAAACACTTCCTAGAATCCAAAACACGGGCCAGGATCCAAAAACAGTTCCCCAGAATGCAAAACACGTGCCAGAATCCAAAAACACTTCCCACAATCCAAAACACGTGCCAGAATCCAAATTGTCTTAGATCCTGGAACGTGCTTAACAAGATATGGACTTTTTTCTGACTTCATAAGTAACCATAGCAACAGTATTGCGTGCATAAGTGCATACTGAACCGACCACGGCAATGAGAACTTCTGGAGTAGTCAATTAGTTTCGATAGCTCAATAGACTCAATTGGCCTTGTGTGAGAGAATTTGGACAAAGCAGATAGCCTAGGTGTTCCTCTCGCCCAGGTTTAATATGTTCAGTGACTTCCAATCAATGCTTTTAATGTTTCAGTTTTTAGTTTGCTCTTTGTACTGATATATAATTTTTCCATTTGCTTTGTAACAGAGTTTGAGAACATGATGATGTCATCAAAATGAGGAAATTCTCGTTTTCCACCTATTCTATGACCCTTGTTGCTTAAAAATGCCGAAGAAATGAAGAAAGTTTTGTTTTGTGATAGTTTGGAATACATGTGTTGGTTTTCGGGATTTTAAAATAACAAGACAGATTTCTTAACTTTGCTTTCTTAGCTAGTGTGTTTGGATTGGTTTAATTAGTTTTTTGGGGGTACATTGTACTTCTTAAAATATGTTTTAGAATTAGCAATGATAATAAAGATTGAAACTATTTTCGAAATAAATTAATGGGCTCTTCTTTACCACAAAACAACAGGCGGTTGGGAAGGGAGGATGTTTGGGGTACTGGTTTCGGAGCAAGGATGTTGGATGAAGTTGAATATAGGACAGGACAGCAAGCTTTGCATTAATTAACCCTTTAAATCCTGACTTCAATATTCATGCAGATTCTCATTTGTTGTCCCTATACGTTTGCTATAGAAGTAGTGGGGAGAATTCATTGAAGTATCAATTAGATTTATCCGGCATGATAATGTCGTCTATTCTCGTCACCGTCATTAGTAAGGACAAAGCACCTAAACACCATACCCCCAACGGCCAGTGCCCAGGAACTCTGTGTATATCTACTGCTTAACCCTTTCGGGATTCTACTAATACCAATTAAAGAAAAAAGAGTTCTAATTTTACGAATAAAAAAAAAATAGAAACTAATATTAACAAGTTTCTACTGACAGTTTCAATTTGAGCTTCCTCGCCGGAAAAATACCTTTAACGGGTCTACTTAATGGTGGACCATACTTTTGTTCCTTCGGCGCCTAAACTCTGTAACGATTTACCTCTGGAAATTAGAACGACCAAATCATCTTTTTTTTTTAGTAAGGCTTTCCATTCTTAGTTAGGTTTACTTACACGACTATGTAATTTTTATTTACTTTTAGCAAGACTTTTAAAGATGTACCTTTTAGTAAGGCTTTTTATTCTTAGCTAGGCTTTTTAATATTTTACACAACACATGATGTAACTCTTATTTAACATTTAGTTATTTATATTCTATGTATCGTTGTAATGCGCAGTTGATCATCTCGTCATGAAGAATACGCAATGTAAATTTTTAAATTCTTATAATTATTATTATTATAATATGTAAATTTAACGTCACTTTTAACCTTATGCATTATACTGAATGACTGTATTTCTTTCTGGCAAATAAATAACTGAAAAAAAAGCCATCTTTAAGTAAAAAGTACCAAAATAAATAAATAAATAAATAATAATAGTTATGTAATGATATAATATTAATAATAATAAAACCGTTAAAAGTCACTGAGTGTATTTGGCAAATTTGCATTTGAGCTCATATGGAAAATAGGGCCGAATCAGGTTCCTAACATTTTTGCTTATGCCTGCAGTAATTATAAATGTATTTCCATGTCTGCTTCATTGTTTCGTCCACTCCACAAGGTCCCAGAGATCTTCTCAGTGGTTGCCTGGATAAGTAGCCTGTTATTCTTTTGCGAACAGAAATGTTCGCTATAGACAAAGAATTTTGTGATTAGAAACTCGCGAAAACAATCGAGCAGTTGCTTTTGTACACGTGTAAATGTTTGAAACCCCCCCCCCCCCCGAAAAAAAAAAAAAAAACGAAGAAAGAGAAAATCCCGACAGCCAAGAATGGTGCATTCATTGAATCAGTTTCCTTGTTTAGAATTTAGTTATGATCAGTGAATAATGATATAGTAATATCATTTGAAGCAATGAAAAAAGAACTCCTTTCAGCAATTTTGACAGTAACAGTTCCGATTGGCGTTATAAATTAACATCCAGACATTTGGCAAATGGATTCCACCTTGCACGATTCACCAGCACTTCTTGGCTACCTCCCAATAAACTTCTCCAGTGACATACTTCGCTGCACCGTTGGAAGCTTTATACTATATATATGCTTTATGAGCCATTATATTGAAAAGGAACCTGAACATGATAAGCCAAAACAGTTGATCGTCTGTTTAATTTTGTAGGGGGAAACACTTCTTATTGGCGGATTGATCATAACGTCGTTGTTCGCATTTTTGCTCATGCAGTAGCATACGAGTTAACCAAGAAAAAGCGTAGCCATATAGACAAATTAGGTTCAAGAACTGAAAGAACTGGTGGTTTTGAGCAGTTTGTGCAGCTTTCGGCTCTTTACCATCAATAACAAAGAAAATAACACCAATCAAAAACTGCGAAATTGCTGGGTGGCAAAATGTTAATGAGCTCATACATTCTTTTTAAGGAGAATTTCTTCGAAACTATTCAGTATATCGGGCTCAAATTTTCAGAGATAACTGAAATTGACATGCTCTTTCAATATTCAGAAATTTTGTTTTGTTAGCTTCATTAGACAATGACAAGCGTATACTAATGACACAAATAAATGAAAACAAAGAATTCGCGTATGACAGCCAACTGTGCTGGTGGATAACTTCAGTTAACATTAATTCTTAATCATCAAAACTGTAGACTTGGTGACACACAACTGGGCTTTGGCCCTTACGACCCTGATACATGCAAATAAATCCGAAAAAACTGTTTATCAATTCTAACGAACCAATCAGAAGCAGGCTATGGTTGTATTTTTACAGCAATAAATTAAATACCCCTGTCGATAACATTGACATCTTGCAATAGCTCGTTGATACGGAACATTTTGCGCAGTGGAAACGTCTTTGTAACATGGTAAGTTTGTAGTCCATAGCTTTTAATCTAGGTTAAAGATTTACGCTACAATAACCTGATCAGCGATGTTTTCATAGTGTACTGTGTAGGTCTCAGGTTGAAACAATAACTAAAAAAATGAACAACACAGACTGAGTAAAGACTATCTTAACGATGAGCAGGTAAATTGGACTCATTTTTTGCCTTGAACTGAATGGGAGGTATCGCATCATTTTGGATGTATCCATTATCGGTTAAAGTATATTATGAGCTAGGCTCTAGCTCACACTGAATATAAGGGGTATTTTGTAAAGGTAGTTATGCCCCGACTCACTGCACAAAAACGTAGAAAAATTCAATATCTAATCCTCTGTTTCTAAGCAAGACATGAGGTGAAAATTTTTCAGCCTTTATCATAAACCGAAGTTAAGAATTTGTAATGAGAAAAAAAAAAGTATTCTGTGGGGAGGTGTTAGTTAAAAGATTACAAGTTTCGTCCTTAATGCCTACAAAACGCTAGAAGACTGCTTAACTCAGCTGGTATCCTTCGGTGAGGAATAATTATCTTATTTGCATTCTGGTGGTTAGTTTGAGAGCAGGGTATTAACTTAGGAAACGGAATCTTCGACTTGAGGTAAAGGTGGCCTGCTTTAACGTTAAAATTAAGTTCAAAGCACAAGAATGACAACTGTTAAATACAGGTCTAAATGACAATACCTTGTATGTTTTTTCCATCATTTACATTACTTTTTTGCCAGTTGAAGACTAGTTGATGCATATGCACGCCTGAGATTTGACTTGGCATTTTTATTACTACTTAGTTTCGTACCGCACGGTATGTATGGCACACCTCAGATAAAATTGCCAACAAAAAGTTCGTTATTACAAACGCGCGCGCGGAATTTGAATAAAAAAAACTATTGCGTGCCAACGGAAGATGTAAAGCTGCTAAGAAGGAATTTACGCGCGTGCTTGCAGGAAGCGACAAGTTCATTTCGCCTTTTCAAGGACGCAAGATCGGCTCTGCAAATGATGAAATATTTTTCCCACAGGCACAAATTACAGCGATTCGAAGGGGGATTAATTGTGCGGCTTGCTTTAAGATCTTCCAAGTTAAGCTAAATCTAATCTTAGCGTCTTTCAAGTGCCAGACGTGCTTACTGAGTTCTGACTACATAGCTGTTATTTAGAGAATGAACGTGTACTTTTAATTCTTTTAATTGCGATAAAGTTTTTGTCGCCGTAGGTCTCAAAAAAAAAAAAAATATATATATATAGCCTTTATATTACTTAATTACCTTCTGTTTAGCGTTAACATTAATGACAGTCCATCTCTTTCTTTCTATAAGAATAATGAATTTTAGTTGAAATAAAATTCTCGTCAGGGATTCCTTTTAAATGGGTGCAATGTGCCAGGCAACATTGTCAGTTTAGCTAGCACACCATTGTTATTACATACCGTTCTAACTTATAGGTGGAACGAGAATTTAAATGATGTATATTAATGGCAACGTTTGTGTTCAATTTTTTCTTTCGGTCTTTACTAAAAAAATATTTCGCGTCCTGACACTTATTTAAGCTGAAACAAACATCACAAAAGACTTTTAAGAACATTTTTAAAAATTTATTCAAACCCCCGTCCATGCCAACTAATTTGCTTTAACAAGGACCAGTTTTTGCAGGTGTTTTGGGGGAAGATCTGTTGTAAAATGGAAAAAAAAAATAAAAGCATATTTTATTCATAATATAGGCGAATCCTTTTTTACACTTTCCGTTTTGTGACATTTTATTAAGCTAATAGAGGCATCTTTATAGGGGGCTAGGTGGTGAGAGGGCGACATGATTGATTGCTTGAAATAAGGGTTAGATCCTGTTTAAACAACATTTAACTCACATCTAATTAATGCCACAGGCATGATGACATCTCTGAATATATAACAATTATTCTATTATGCTATTATGCTAATTAGGCTATTTCTTACTAAAAAAACTATTTAGGGAATAGTAAGAAACAGCATAATAGTATTTGTAATTTCTGAAAACGTCGAGCTAGATGTAACAAATATCAAATGTCCAATTTTTGGGGGGAAATTTTCGGTTAAAAAAACTCAAAATTTATCAAAGGAAGTGTAGGCTCATTAAGGCTTTTTCTACTCAGCAATCTTGAAGTTTGGTTGATATTTCCTTAGATATTGATTTTAAAGGAAAGTTATCTCTGAAAGAAATATATGGTTTTATGCTAAATGTGACTGATTAATGTGCCATTTCTCCAGCTACCGGGGAGGGAGCGTTCCTGCCATCCGGGAAATTATATATGTGTTTTTATGACAAGAAGGCCTCTCTGCTCACTGCAAAAAGAAAGTTGGAAAACATTTTCCCCTCCCTTCCCTCCCATATGACTCCACTTTCCTCAGGCAGGTTAAGGCATATAGGTTGAAAGGCTAAAAGACCCCCAAAGACACAGACACACTAATGACACAGAAGGATCCACGAAAAAAGGGTTCCACAAAGATATGATAAGACATCTCACTAAAATAGTTTTGGAAAATTCATCCTAAGCGTCACGTGACATTCATTAGTCTATGGCGTCACAAAAACTGTTTTCTCAAACGAGGCAAGGTTGTTAAACTTTAGCCTAAAATTGTCAGCGAAACCGTCTGGATTGTCAATTAGCCTTGCAAGGTGGGTTAAAGCATTTTTATTAAGAGTTATTAAAGTCTTTTATAAGTCACGTGACATGTTTTTCTTTATTTCATAATCCTTGCTCAACTTAGGCATACATGCCTGGCTATTTCATGATACCCAGGCCTAGGGAAAAACACTGTTGCCTAAGAATATTTGCTGCTCTTTCATTTCCTTTCACCCGTTTTTATTTGAACACTTTGAACGTCAGGTGACTAATATTTCAACAATGAATATGTCACATATTGTTAAGATCGTCGAGCTAAAACTGTTTGCCAAGTTTCATGACGACTGATCAAAACAATCCGTTTCAAAGGCCACTTCGCCAAATTATGCAAATTATGAGGTGACCCATGCCTTAATCGCCTGAGGATCATCTCCCGGATGGCAGGTGTACCCTCACCTTTGCTGGTGTAAATGTTCTAGTTTTTCTGTATTTTCCTAGCTTCATATGCTTAAATGAAATAAACGGTCACTCTTGTGGCCAAATTTTTCCCAAACTGCAATTGTTATTATTAGGTCTCCCAGCAAACAGAGCTCACCCAAACCGAGACTCCACCAACAGCAATAACCGACTCAATAATTACTATCTCAAGGAACATGGAGCATAAACTGAGCTAAATGTGGCACAGACTGCTCAAGTTAACCAGCTGGTACAACCTTTAAACGTTATTTGTAAATCCTTTACACGGGTACGGAAAAAGTTTTACCTGTGCAACCCGTTTACACGGAACCGTACAAATTCTGTTACAGCCGATTGCAGTATTGTTTCGATCCGCGAATTGTTTGCCTTTTAAAAACTCAGACTTGCACGATTCCCTCTGCTTGAAATAATTGAATAGGGTCAAAGTACATGTAGTTGATACAAACTTGATCCTTTTTTTTGTTCCAGGCTGAATCGCAACTCTCCGAAGATCAGTTAGCAGGTATGAAATTAAATTCTGATCTGAAAATGAGCCATATGCAACCACTTGCCTTGTAGTTATTCTGTCTGCATTCGATTGGGAAATCTGAATTTAGGATTTGGAATCCGGATTTCGGATTTTGCAATAATTAAAGCAGAAAATCCAATACGGATTACTTCGACAAATTAGTATTGGATTTCAAAGAAGAATCCAAATCTTCTATGAGTTTTGTTTGAAATCCGAATTTGAAAAATATATAGTTCGCGTGATCAGAAGTCTTCTTTTTTTTTTTGTTAATTCATGCGTGCGCACAGTCTTAGCGGCGCTTCGACGTAATCCGGGTTTGGATTTCGCGTTGTTATACAAATCCAAAATTTGGATTTCAAGATCTAAAGCAGGATTTCCCAATTGGATGCTTCCTAATTTTCAGGGTAAGGGGGATCTTATATGATGAGCTTATCGGCATTTACACTTATTCCTCCACATCCTTAACAGCAATCACACAAGCATTCTCTCTTTTCGACAAGAATGGAGATGGCAAGATTAACACGAAAGAGTTGGGAACAGTGATGGAATCGCTAGGGGAAAACCCGACAGAAGCTGAACTTAAAGAAATGATCAGTGAAGTTGACACAGATGGTAATGATCCACTTTTTTTTAAGAGCATATAGTCATGCAAGAGATTTTCAAGAGAACAATGGAACAGAAAGGAAGTCTTAGGGCGTTGACCGCGTTGACTCTCTCGTATGCGACCACCCCTGGCGCACGAAAAAGTGGTCGCTTACGGGAGGTGGTCGTCCAAGGGAAAAATCAGGAAAATATGCTCAAATTGAACTGATGAACGTGATTACATAAAGTTATTAACTAACAAGATAAAACTAAGGCAAACATACAAGTGGCCACACTGGTTCACATCGAATAGCACTTGGAAATGTTGAAACTTTGTACATAAGAGTATTGCAGCAATGTTACAATCCACATTTTTTCCCTACAGATCGTATCACAGCAATCCTCTTTCAAGTCAACTGCTTTCAGGGATCCGCAGCGCTTTTTAAAACTGAACTTTTGGTGACATTTGAGCTGCAATGGTTTTCCTACAATCATACGTGATCATGCCAGGGTCACTTTAATACGAGAAAAAGAAAAGAATAGAATAATGTTGAATTTCTGGTTATAAAAGCGGTCGCGGTCTTTTAAGTAGTGGTAACTTACGAGAGAGTTTTTAAAACAGTGTTTAACTGAGAAACAAGACGGTTATTTATACAAAGTGGTCGCTTACGCACGAAGGATGGTGGCTTAAGAGAAGCGGTCGCTGTGGGAGAGTTGCTTGTATGAAAATTTCCCAGAGTTCATAGAGCATTTAGCTTTAAAAAATTTCTTCAAAACGTTTCTTCAAAATATTTTAAGAAATTTTTAAAACAGTTAAAATTATATGACGTTTCGACGTTCTCGGACGTCAATAGAGAGCTTTAGATTGCATATCAAGTCGGCAGAAGATAGAGCGTACCTTGGCACATTCTTGACTAAAGGCTTCTGTCGTAGATGATAAAGCATAGGCGCGATGTAACATGGTCTTAAATAAACCGGTTTTGTAACGTTTGTTTACATGGCTTTGAAAATGCAAGAGCAGAACAGTCTGTTGGTCCGCCTTTTGTAATCACGGGTTTCAAGTTCTTTTCTATTCTTATAGCTCATTTCAAATGAACGGGATCTTGTTATCAGTAGGAAGTTTCGGCCATTGTAATTCAGGCTCGGGACGGCGTAGAGCATTCGATGTAGTGAGAAAGTCAGCGTCGGCATCGATGGCAGGCATTCTAGCAAGAGTGTCGTCCATATACCTTTTATAGAGAGAGGGTGCCTTACCGTCGCGTGTGAGTTTTTCTTTGAGGTGGCACATAAAACACATTGGCCATTAGTGGGCCAAGAGGAGAGCCCATCGCTATACACCTTCAGTCTGTTCATACAAATGACCATCGAACTGAAAAAAGTTGATTGGTGTTGGCAACATCAAAGAGTTGTGTAAGTTCCTACTTCTCAAGGTTTATTAGATCATTATTGGTAAAGGTTTCGTCGACCAGGATGTTAATAGTCTCACTTAGAGGTATATTGGTAAAAAGGGCCTTCACGTCATAAGAGACCAGTATATCTTCTTCATTCAAAGGAATGGAACAAATCTCATCAGAAAATTCAAACGCATCAGTAATAGTGTACTAGTTTACAGAAGGTGGTTTTGATTAGTTTCTTCAAGCCAACTAGCCAGGTTAAAGTTGTAAGTTCCGGTGGGGGATAAAATTGGTCTCATACTCAATTTATTTGACTTTGTGTCCCTTGGGAAGCTCATAAAGATGGGACAAGAAGAAAGGGAAGTGGCAATGTCTTCAGGCAGTATTTAATGTAGGATTGAATGTACATCTTTCTATTTCTGAAGAAGTAGGTGAAAGTGGTTCGGGGTCGTCCACGAAGGTTTGGGCATCCCGGGGGACTCCCATCTAAAAGTGACGAGGATGCTCGTGGGAAGATTCAAATTAAATCCCCTGAAGGGGATCCAATGTGGGTGTGGCTTAAGTTTAAACTGACCCCTAAGGAAGATTTCTCTGTGGTCAGCGTCAGGGCATTTTTTGTAAATTTTTTTATGCACAATACTAAGCGATACCTGGATGGGCAAATAGTAACTTTACATCACAAACACCCTAACTGAGACCAAAATCTGCAATTTACACCCCAAAGCGAGACGAGGTTCATCCCCTTCACTTTTATATGGGCGGCCCCGCCCCGTTTTGGGCGTTTGTCATCAATGCGTGCAAATTTTGTAGCATCCCCTATTCATCGATTGAAGTTGCGCTTAGAAGACGGACATGTTCAGGTTTGGCCATGACTACAATTCCAGAACCTCTGTCAGGTTTGGTAAAAAACTAAGTCCTCAGGTTTCCTTAAGCGATCGAGCAGTTTCACGGGAGTTTTAGATGTAGAAGGGCTTGTGCGCTGAAAGTAATTCAAAGACATGGAAAGTAATGTTGAACTTGTTAACTCTTTCTCGTTAGGATCTTTCAAAAGTGGCTCAATTTTCCGACAGGCTTTCTCAAAGTTAGCTTTGATTTCAGCTGGAGCGACTTTTTGAGGCAGATAAAATTTTATTGTCCCGCAAGAATGAACAGGCCTTTCGAAGATACGAAGATATGATGCTAATATGTTCGTTCACGTCAAACTTCTTTGATAACAAGCGAGAAATCTTGCTAACATGGCTTTTCATCATTTCATCATATTGGTTCTGTCGCACTGTATTCAGTATCCGTATGATGGCAATGCAGCGAATGAACGAGCATTACTCCCTGGTGTTCTTGTGAGTGCTTCGAAGTTCTTCCTTGAGATGACTGAAATAATATAACTTAGATCTCAATCCCTCGTCCAGACCTAACCTTATTTTGATAATTGTCTGATGCCTTCTTCCATGCACGTGCTTTTCTTCATTATTCAATTTAACGGAAGTCTGATTCCTTGGACGTCCGCACATCTTAATCGATTGTTGAAAACTTTATCAAGTTCACTGTACCTCAAAGCACGCAATGTAGAATTTTGTAATGGTGACACACCAAGAGAGCATAGGGAAGTAATGCCCCATTATTCTCTCTATAGAGAGGAGAAGTCGTTACGTCACGTTGCCATGGTAGAAACATTTTTGGATGACAACAAACCGAAACTTCACTTATTAAACGAAAATTCGCACTGCTTCAAACTTCATCGATCTTAATTCACTTTCATTTAATTTGTCAAATGTTGGCGAAATTTTCTGGATTGAATCCGAAAGAAAAAGAAAAAGAAACTTTTTGTGTTGTGTTCATCTACTTCGCAAAGCGGGGAGCGTGAAATTAGAAGTTTCTTGTCGCAGTCATGCAATGATGGCTATAAAATGTGCAAAAAAGCGTCATGCACGAGCGCAGTTGTTATTTACTAATATAAACTTATTGCCTTTTTTGCCGTTCTCGTCGCCTTCGCCGTCGTTGTTGACTAAGCTCCCTTTTGTTGTGATCCAAAAATTTCTCTACCATGGTAACGTGACGTCATACTTCTCCTCTCTATTGACAACATTGAATAAAAGTCTTCGGGCGACCCCTCCCAGTACGGAAACCAATTTCAGATTGAAATTAATTCACATATCACAGAGGCTAGACTATCTCATTATTCTCTCTTGATTCACTTACTGTTATGGCTGTTACAGTGGAACCTCGATTTAACGAAGGGCCAAGGGATTGGCCAGCAGATAGTTTGCTTAAAACGACGTTTCGTTCCATCGATGCTCTTTTCTGTATATTCTACCATAACTGAGGCAGAGAATATCGTTTCGATTTCCTCGTTAAATCGAGGTTAAACTGTATTGTAATTTAGCAGTTTACTTAGTCTGAGTGTCTAATTGTTTTTATCAGGCAGTGGAACAATTGAATGGTCAGAATTCCTTAAAATGATGAAAGAAAGAAAGAAAGAGGAAGAATTTAATGAGGAGGAACTTAGGGATGTTTTCAAAGTATTTGACAAGGACAACAGTGGCTTTATCAGTGCTTCTGAGTTAAAGGAAGTGTCGAGCAAGTTGGGACGAAATCTGACCGACGAGGATGTGAAAGAAATGATGAAAGAAACGGATTTAGATGAAGATGGAAAAATCAGTTATGAAGGTAAGTGTTTTTGAAAGAACGTGATTCACGCAGAATAATTGAACTTTGTCTGACCATAGATTATTTTTTTGTTTATACCTTTCATGCGATGCGCAGAAAGTATTTGAAAATGAAATTAAGACACAATCCACTTGGACATTTTGAGTAATTTTGATTTTCAGTGGACAAAAATCTTGTACCGGAATAATTTAAAGCAGATTGCATTCTTTCTTACATTTTTCAAGGTCTAAAGATGTAATAAATCATCTGTAGTGACACCAAACAATAGGTCTTAAGGGAGCCCGATAAAATATATATTTAATTTCACAAAATTACATCTTACACATGAAATTCTAGGAACTTTACCTGTGTAATCACAATTCTTGTGAAATTTGAGTTTCATTTTCTCGGACTTCCATGAGAAATTGTCCTTGGTGTTACTACAGATGATTTATTAGGTCTTTAGCCCTTGAAAACTGTAAAAAAGAATGCAATATTCTTTAAATTAGTCTGGTACAAGGTTTTTGTCCACTGAAAATGAAAATTATTCAATTTCCTGATGGCTTCCGTCTTCAAACAAAACTGAATGCAAAGGCAAAGGGCTGATTAATCTCGGGCCAATATTTCGGTTAACAACATAAGCCCTCCTTAGGGCCATAGCTACATTGAAAGAAAATACTACAGAAATAGAAGGGAGACATACTCGCTATAATTGTTAATTTTTACGTAACGTCACTAAAATTCAGATTACAAAACTATGGATCCTACTGAGATTTTACTTTAATGACGTGTTTGAGCAGCTGCTAAGTTAAAGTATTTAAACAAGTTGTCATTCACATTCAACGTCAAGTTTGGGATCATAAGAAAATTAAATTAAGTCGAAAATTAAAAGAAGTAAAAAAGACGCCAGCCAAAAATTAGCTTCGAGTTGTGCTTCACATAAGCTCCCGAGTGATGATTTGCTTTCCTCTTAATGTTCTTTTATTTCTCTCTTTTATTTCAGAGTTTGTAAAGTTGATGAGCAAGTGAATAGCCTTTTTTCCAGTCGTTTTGTTATTATTCGAAGTTGCTTCATGAACAGTTCTTAATTTGACTGTCCTATACTGGTTTGCCAAAAGTGACCAATCAAGTATCCATGTAGTTTTAAGAATTTCATATACAGGGATAGTTGTTTGATATTCTGTTGAATTTTTTGTTATATTATTGTATCTAACTAATGCACAATTCTAGGGGTATACCGAACAAAATACTAACACGTGTATATTAGAATGGGTGAACAAAAATAAAGCTGATGATCGACAGCGTGTATTAAAAAATATATATTGTGAGATCAAGCATTGTGACGGTAACAGACATCATAATTCGGCCATTTTAAGGCAGGTATCTTGTTAAATTTTCTTCCTGATAACAATTTGAATGAGTTTACAACTAGACTAATGTTACTTTTAATCCAATAGTGTCAAAAATAATAATAATATTTATAAAAAAAATTAGAATGGTTAATGATAATCATGATAATTCGGGGGCACCCAAAGGCGTTTTCCTCCTAAATGCATTGAAAGCACCTTTTGGCTATTCAGAGTATTTTTAGATCTTTAGAAATACATTGTAATCGGCGCTATAAAATTTATATCTGTTCGACACCGTTCTGAAGCTTATGTAGCCTGTCAAAGCAAGTTTTTCCCCAGTTACCCCAGACAATATTATAAGAATCGAATTGAGATTGAATGAGAGCGTTGTATATACAATTGAGAGTAGGCGTTGGAACAAAATCTATAATTCTTTTAATGGCTCCTATCCCGGAAGCGATCTTTTTAGATAATTTATCGATGTGCGTTTGCCACCGTAGATTTTCATCAACAAATATTCCAAGCGATTTTACAGAGGTAACGTTTTCTATCGGAACATTATCAATCGAGAGCTCGGGTTGGCCCGACAAATTACTCAATTTTTGTCTTGATCCAATTAGCATAAATTCAGTTTTAGCAGTGTTCAAAAGTACGTTTGTTGGAAATAGGCCATTTGTTTAGATTACCTAAATCGTGATTCAAATTTAACTGTACTGAATTTACATCAACATCTGCATAAGTGATGTGTGTGTCATCAGCATACATCCTAGGGTTGCATGAAGTTAGGCAATTTGGCAAATCGTGATGTAAATAAGAAATAAAAAGGGACCAAGAATTGTTCCCTGAGATACCCCGCATTTAAGTGAGCAGATTCTAGAAAGGGAACCATTAACGAGACATCACTGTGTACAATTTGTCAAATACGATATAAACCAATCGAGAGTAATTCCTTGTATTCTGTAAAGGTTCATTTTAGATAAAACGATATCACGATCAACAGAGTCAAATGACTCCTTTAGATCAAGAAAAACCACAGCATTAACGTTACCACGATCAATATTAAAGGCCCAGTGATCAGTAGTTTCAAGGAGAGCAGTTACAGTTCAGTGTAAAGAGCGGAAGCTCGATTGATGTGTAGAAATGATATCTCATTGCTCAAAAAATTATACGATTGGTAATAAACAATCCTTTCGAAAACTTTAGTTATACTGACGGAAATGACTGAAATAGGTCGATAATTATTTAGATCAGATGCATCACCTTGCTTAAACAACGGAGTAACCCTAGCACATTTCCAATCGTCTGGAAATATACCAGAGAGCAAAGATTTTTTGAAGAGATCACATAGAGAAACTGAAATAAGATCGGCACATTCACGCATTATTTTAGCAGAGATGTTATCAAGACCTGTTGCTTTGGATGTACATAATGTTTTTAGATGTGAGGAAACAATACTACTGCTTGTAGAAGAAAAACTGAACTTGTGGAGATTTACATTTATATTATTGATATAACCTAAATCATCATTATTATCATTTGGTGGAACTTCATTGGCAAGGCGGGACCCAGTTGTTGAAAAATGGTCATTAAAAGCATTAGAAAGCTCTCTAGAATTAGAAATAATGGAACCATTCAACTTCAATTCTTTCACCGTTGAACTGTTGGTGCGACGGGAAGTAAGGTCGTTAATGGTTTGCCATGTTTTTCGAGAATTACCTTTAGATTGACTAAAAGCATGAGAATAGTAAGATGCTTTAGAAGTCTTGATGTTATTGTTTATTGTATTTCGCAACTTTTTGTAATTTGCCTAGTCGCGTGTATCATTCGATGCCATAGCTTTTCTTTTGGCAGCATCACGATCGCGCATACCTTTCTTTAATTCTGTGGGCCATCTTTAAAACCTGTTGACCACTCTGATCTCGATTGCTTCGTCGGATGGTCATTGAACGAGGCTGGGTAACATGGAAACCATAACACGCTCTTTCTATAAATGAAGATCTATGAAAAGAAAATCGATGATTTGTTTTGATACACTTTTGCTACGCATTTACAAAGGGCGTGGCATAAGAAGGACATCGATTGCGGATCAACAGAAAATACACTAAAGATATTGTGTTATTTTTATAGTCAAGATATTTTATCACTTGCTGGCATCATTGTTAACTGTGGAAGTGTTGACACAACTAATCGTCTTCAGGGTAATTAAGTGCGCGTTATACTGAAAAGCATTTAGCTTTGATAACCAACATTGTATTCCATTTTGCTCAAAGGCAGTTACTTTGTTCAGTTCTGTTTTAACTTGAGCAATTATTTATTTTGAAGATCGATTATGCCGTTAAGGGCAGTAAACAAAAAAGAGAAGATTGTATGGCACTGAAGGGTTAACCCTGTTTGACGGATATTACTACAAAAGATGAACTACAAAAAATACAGAAACTCCCCTTTTTCCCAGACGATCAAAAGATGTTTCGTGGACTTAATGCCTTTTTTGCGATCGTTGGCGTTGTTGCTCAATCCAAGATTCCGGTGTAAGTGACATGCAGTACCTCTTAGCTTTCTTTTATTTTCAAATTATAAAATTGAATGATCGATTCCCTTGAATTTCGTGCAGTCACCACGTGGCTGAATTCTTAATCTACATACATCGACCAGCATTTTACTTTTCCAAGTTGCAGAGTATTATTAAATGCTGGAAACAGTTTTCAGAGGATGAGGTTGTTGTTGGGATGTAGGTGGGGAATTCAGGCCTTGTGATCATAATTATAATTAGTTGTGCCTTAGAAGAGGGTCTCAATGGGGTGGTGGCATTTACGGTTATCGGCTAAAATATTGGCTCTTTTACGGCTATCGGTTAATTTTTTTTCAGTTACGGTTAACGAAAGAGTTAAAAATTAACTGCTTTTCTTTCAAAAAGTTAAATATTAATTAACCTGTATTTTTTTGTATTTTTAAATCAAAATAAAGGTCTTCGGATCATCTCGGGATAAAATAAGCCATTCTTTTGAAAAATTTGCACATTGGATCGATCATACTTTTTATAAAGTAATCCACTTCTAATATTATTTTACACATAGAAATGTCAATAGTCAATTTAAAAATAATCTTTGTGAAAAAGCAAAAGCAGACAAGCAAACGCCCAACTCAAGGCCGGGACGACATTCATTATAACAGAAATAGCCGTTTTCACACTAGAGAAGGATTATTCGTCTGAGACGGGTTATCCGTTTGATGATTCGCGTCAGATAGGTAATACGTCTTAATTTGAAAATGGAATAGTTTTAATTTTGAGTGAACAATCCGCCTGACTTTTGAAGACGGGATTATCCGTTCCAGGTAGCCTTGGTACAGCCGCCCCCTCCCCTCACAAAAAAATCGGAGAAGGGGTGTCTGTGGGGAGGGCTCGACTGTACACAGGCTAGTCTCGGACGGATGATCCATTTCTAGCTCTAGTGTGAAAACGGCCAAAAACAAAATTCTCTTGTCCAGTGTTTTTAATGATAGCGAAGGACTGTACGGAACGACTGTCTGCCGTTGCCTTGTTGGTAGTCCGCATTATTCCGCGCGGCTAATGCGTTTCGGGTCACGTGGTCCGAGCGAGTTCGCCACCGAAATGCCTTGACCGAGACTGCGTGGGACGACGCCGTACAGGGACTAGGCATAGCAATGTCTACCGTAGCGTCAGCGGAGAAAAACAGGGAAGTATTGTTTATCGGCAACGTGTTTTACAAACAGTGACATCGCTGCGTGCTGTTTCACTAGTGTTTCGAGGGCACGACCTCCCAAAAATTGCAGATATTAATCCCCAGTAAGAAGCCACACTTTCGCTATGGAAAAAATTAGTTCCCCGATAGAGCGCCGGAAATGGAGCCTAGGTCTTGGTTAACACCTAAAAGGCGCTTCGCACTAGCCGGGAAATAAAAAACACCACCATAGGTGAGTTTAGTACCTTCCTTAAAAGTAGCAAATCTAAGGAACACTTTCTTTTACGGTTAACTCTTTTTTACCCTATTTACAGCTTACGGTTAAAATTTTTCAATTTTTACGGCTATCGGCTAAATTTTTGGCCGTTTTACGCCTATCGGTTAACCCCATTGAGACCCTCTTAGAACGACATCATTTCTCTACTAGAAACTGTTTTGGCGAGTTTTCGATTTCAAGTTTTCTTACAGTACGGATTCGAAATGGCTCCAGTAGCACAGAAAGTAAAAGACACTCCATATCCGTTCAGCATAATTATAATTATTAAAAACTGGATCATTGTATAATGCAGTTCTAAAGCTCTAATTGTATTAGCTATCATGGTATATGAACCATTTATACCTTGCTCTCCAAATATGGTTACTGAATGCGTCTGTTCAAATTAAAAACAAGCTTAAAATCGAATATTTATTGCAGCGAACGCACTTAAATGACATTGCGTATGAGCAAATAATCATTTTTACTTTTTACTTGAGGAGTAGTCCAGTTTCGAATTAATAATTACCGCTTAATACAAACATTAACGACACATTTATGCAGGGTTAGCCTCGACATAAGGTAAAATATTCAGAAATTCTGGCAAGTAAGAGTTTGAAAAGTGAATATACACATGCAAAATAGACAGAGTAATAAACAGGTCTTTTTCTCGTTGGAATTTATGAATATATTACTTCAGATGGAGGCTAACGCTGTAAAAAAATGCGTCTTCACTTCTTTTATTCAGCGGTCATAGTGAACTCGAAACTGGACTATTGAGCAGTATTAAGCAGCTCAACACTAATATGTTCACAAATTTGCAAACCGGAAGGGTTATTCATTTTGTGTTAGAGTACGTTAAGATGTCTAAGCTTTTGCTCAACGCAGACTTCATGAAAAAAAAAAGGGTACTGTCATGAAGGTCAAAAACAAGACTAAAATTTGGGGATTTTGCTATCTGAACAGTCTTTGTCAATAAATAAGTACGACTTTTATGTCTGTAGTTCTTTGAGTGATGATTTCAAGAGTTGTCTTATATTAAATGTTTCTGGCCACCATTTGGCGTCCCTCATCGGGACATCAACATGGCTTCTCCATACAAAGCTCTGCAAATTGGATAAAACCTGTACGCGACTCGAAATGATCCCTGACCCCAAATGATCCCCCAAATCGACCTAAACACGACCCGAAATGATCCCCGACCCCAAATGATGCCCAAATTTTTTCACACGCAACTCCTTTTTAACGAATTTTGCAAGGAACTTTAGAGTTTAATTGGAGGTTTAATCGTGCAAATAGCATCTCGTTAGGCCCGGTTTAAACGTCAAATTTCACATGTGCCGAGTCTGATTTAAAAATTCGATTCGGCACTAAAGACAACGGTTGAACTTCTGTCGAGATTTGACTGCCGCGGTCGAAGTCTCGTTGTCGAATTTAATTTTAGTTAAACGCCGAACTTCCAACGCATTCAATACCTGAATTAAATATGGCACATGTGAAATGCGATGTTTACACCGAGCCTTGTTGTAACAAGTAACAGTCTTCGCTTCCTGTCGTTACCCAACAAAACAGAATTAAAACGCTTTAATCTTATTCCCAAGATAGAAATGTTTTCCCATTCCACTCCTATAACTCCTCGGGGATCATTTCAGGTCGCGTGTGAAAAAAATTGGGGATCATTTGAGGTCGGGGATCATTTCGGGTCGTCTTTAGGTAGATTTTGGGGATCATTTGGGGTCGGGGATCATTTCGGGTCGCGTACAAACCGGCCTTCCCCGAGAACCTCGTATATGAAAATTCTTATAGTTCTCACTGCTCTTCTTTTATTTCTTTGATTCTAAACTTAATTTATTGAAAAGCCAATTTTTTTTTTTTACTTTTTGATGGAAAAAAGCTGAAAACCAGCATTACGTATTTTTGCTTTCAACTTGATCTTTTTCTTGCTTTTTCGCGAGAGTGGATTAACAATTCACGCAATAAACAGGTTTTTATTGTGCTGCGGGAGCTGTTTTTATACCGTGGACTGATAGCAAGCCAGAAAAATTTAGAAATTGCGTGACATCTAGATTAAAATTGGTCACGCTAGTGATTCAACATTATTTTACTAGTCACCCGAGTTGGAGTAGAACATGTGATCTTTCTGATCTTCCGTTTTCTTGACAGTAAAGGAGACTGCAATTACTGATTTTATGATACTTATTTTAACAAGTATTTTATCGCCGGACATTGACTGAGAAGAATTCTACGCCTGGACGGACGAGTGAAAAAAGACGCATTTTATGTCAAGCGAACCCCAATATGGCTTGCTATTGTTTCTAAGGCACCAATCACAAGGCCCTCTTCGCTAATTGGCTCCCAGAACTTGATGTCTTTCAATTTCGAAAAATCATTTCTCCTTTGCAATTTGGTTGAAACAATCATTTGTCAAACTCAGGAAAAAGCTGCTGAAAAAAATGGTAAGTATCTTTTACCAGGGTTACATAAATTTTGCATTCTTAAGAAGCACCGCACTGGTTTATTTGTGAATTTTGGGGTTGAAAAAGCAGGTGAAGTTCAATTATTTCGCTAGTGTTGTGAAGGCAAAATTTTGAAAGCTAATGACCGCGTCGCATAACGCCCACCTTTCTGTACAGAACAGAAAGTCAGTTATCAAGAAGAACAGCGCTCATTAGCTTCTATAGTTATTGAAATAATATTAATTTTTGCCTAAGGAGAGTTTTGAGTCTTAAAAGACTAGGGAAGTTGATTTCATTAATAATGGCGGATCTAAAGATAGTCGCCCAAGCATATTCAGCACGATACGGGAAATCTTTAAGTGTCAGCGAAATATAAGTCCGGGTAATTCATGTTGAAGTTATGTATTATTTAGTATTGCATATTGATTACAGCGTCTACAAAAGAAAATCCTCTCACCCGCTTAGTGCCCGCTATGCGGAATAACTTTTCCTGATACAAGCTTCGTATTTTCAACATACAGCTAAGATATCAATAGATTTTCGAATTTCTAAAATCTTACAGCCTTGAGCACATGATAAAAAGTCAAAACACGTGCCAGCAGTGGCGATCTACAGAAATTGTTACTGTTACTCGCGATTTTTCTTTTTTTAAGTTTTCTTTTCTCTCATTATTATTTTTTATAACAACACGTAGTTGAAAATATTTTACGAACGACAGGGTTATTATTTGCATCTAATATGTCATTCTTTTCCCACCCACACACGGCAAAGTTTGCAAAAAGGAAAAAAGATCATAATAAGAGATAATTTCAAGGCCTTGAACTTCACATCGGGGCCTTCATATTAGGACATAACAATACATAAAAGACACTGAATTAAGTTTTGAGCATCAGACAGCCAATCGAAACGAAGACGTGGTTTCTTTGAGCAGGTGCAATCTGAGTAGCATCAAATTTGCTTTAGTTTTTATCTGTCCAAGTGTAGAAGCTAGTTCATAAATACTAATTAAAATTCCTAGAAGTATAAAATTTTCTTTAAAACCTCATCTTCAACTATAAGGCTTAAACCAGTCTTGTATGAAAACATTCACCTGGAAGCCAAATCGGTCCAAGCGGTGACCTGGCCTTGTCTACGTCTTGTATCAAGGTTTTTAAAATGGAAAGACTTCTTTGAGTTAATATAAGACTTGGGCCATGATAATTAAATATTCACGAAAATACTTTTCCGGATAATGTTTTCTTGAGACGTTTGCTTAAGGCTACGGTCGGTTGACTCGATCACACTCTAAACTCGAAAGAGTCGCCCCTGCGGCTTTTCATATTTTGACATTTAAGCTCGGACGTCGTGAAACTCACACAGCGGCAAGCTTGAGAAAACATCCAGCTGCAGGGTTAACTTTATAAAGTTCTATAACGTACGTCTAACAAATTTCGGTTTAGAAGTTCAATCCATATAAACACTATATTTTGCAATATTGTGTTACAAACACTGAGCCTGGTGCTTTTCGACAACCAGCGGCCACTTTTACCAAACGTCACCATTTTTGTGGTTTCATATGTTTTTAAGCAACTACAAAAGATCACTATTCAGTCGTCATGCAGCGCATAAATCCGAAATACGTTATCACCAACGAGACATCGAGTTGTCGACGATCCTTCGAAGACAAGTGCAATCCGGGAACAAGGTTTTGCCAAGTTGAAGTCGACCTTTTTTCCATGCTGTTTGCACAATGTTCTATTCTCGCCCTATATTCTTTGAATTTAGTTAAGCTACTAGCATGTCGTTAATAAGCACAGGTGAGACTCAAATTTCCAGTATTGACGACCGAAGATAACCTTAGTGTGAAAAAACAGCCGACATTTCAAAACGCTGCCACAGGCTTCCCGCGAAATGACTTAAAAGCTGAACGACCGCAGAATTTCCATTCTGATGAAGGATCACTGGCCAGATCTGGGTATAGTGGTTCTCACTGGCTGGTTAAACCAATCAGAAGCACTTATTACAGTGTTAACTCGTTCACGGAAAATCAGGGTTAAACAAAATTTTTTCAGGGACAGAGTCGAGTCAGTTGTATTATCAAAGCCATTAAAAAAATTAGGAAATTTTAATATCTCTGTGCACAAAAATCCCGTTAGAAGTGTAAAGAGTTCTAAACTGAAGACAGGAATATTGATGTTCCGCAAAAGTGCCAAAGCAAATGAAAACGTCAGGGGCGGACCTAGGGGGAGGGTGCAGGGGGTGCGCCCCCCCCCCGCCCCGTGAGATGACCTGCGGTTTTCTAATACAACTGGTATTCTGCCAAAAAAAAAAAACTATGTGGTTTATTGGTGTTGAAGTAGAGCAAGAGACGAGTGCACCCCCTTCTAAAAAAAATCCTGTATCCGCCCCTGAACGTGGACTGTTTTCTGTTACAAGTCACGTAATGGAAAGGTCAGTGAAAATTGTTAACAGGTCGTTGAAACGTGAAGGAATTTCTTTAGTTTATTGCTGGAGAATGGCAACCCTCAATTAGGTTCCATCTGAAACAAATCTTTGGAAATTCAGCAGTATAGCTGCCTGTAAAAAAAATAGCTTCGGTCCTCTCGCCAGTCACTTTCTGCTCATTGGTCCAATGGTATGGTGTTTGCTTAGCAGTATGTAAAATTTTTTTTTTGCATGATTTCAGGCTGATCAACTTACTGAAGAGCAAATTGCAGGTATGGAAACCCTTCCGTTTCTTTTTTTGCTTCTAAATTTCACAGCCAAACTTTATTGATTTCTCGGCCTGTTTGTGGATTCAAAATTTATCACTTTAGCCTGATTCTAGTTTCTGTGATCTCTAATTATCAAAAATCAAATATTCTTAAATAGCCTCTTATTTGAGGGGCATTGTCCACGAGTCCTCTGCGTGCTCCTTCCTAGCTACAGGCTTTCCCCTCCCCTTTGTATCTCGTTCTCCTTTATCTTCTGATAAACTAGCTCAGTTAAACCGTTCTGATATCCATTCTTATTTATAAATAAAGCTTGCTTTCTTTCAGCACATAGAAATCAAATGTTAGTTTACTTAATTAATTATATATTTAGTAAGTAAGCTGTGAGATGAGATTGAGGCAAGGAAGTTTGATCGACGTCCACCTCAAATCTCAAGGTCGCTGGCAACCTCTAAAACAGAAGACAGAAACTAAAAACGCAGCAATTTGTTCTATACGTTTTCAGAATTCAAGGAAGCATTCTCTCTATTTGACAAGGATGGAGATGGTACCATCACAACAAAAGAGTTAGGTACAGTGATGAGATCTCTTGGACAGAATCCAACAGAAGCAGAACTTCAGGATATGATCAACGAGGTTGATGCTGATGGTGAGTTAACAACACAACTTTTTTTGCAAAATAAATCCTGCTTCCGATCTCACTATTAATAAGAACTTTGATTTTGTCGCTCATAAACAGGTAATGGGACAATAGATTTTCCCGAGTTTCTAACCATGATGGCGCGAAAAATGAAAGACACTGACAGCGAGGAAGAAATCAGAGAAGCTTTCCGAGTTTTTGATAAGGATGGCAATGGCTTCATCAGCGCTGCTGAGTTACGACATGTCATGACCAACCTTGGGGAAAAACTTACAGACGAGGAAGTTGATGAGATGATCAGAGAGGCTGACATCGATGGTGATGGACAAGTTAATTATGAGGGTAAGACCTACATTCCGGTGTTTTATATGTATTAAAACGTACACTCCGGTGAATAAGAAAATCGCAAAAGTTGCCCCCCGTTTTTGAAAATTATTTGGCGCATGGAAAGATCGCCATTTGAAATAAAGCGCAGCGGCATGATAATTTTACTCAAAAATATTTGGGGGTGTGAGGTTCGGCCAAGGCATCGGACGCTGAACAGGAGCGGCAAGGAGAGGCAAAGGATGCCTTTTTCAATTCATCTTTCTATTTCATTTCCACTCTTTCCATGATGATTTTACTTGTTGCAGTTTGAGTAACCCATGAGTTTCTAAATGCGCAAAAAAAAAAAAAAAAATTTGTTGTTATAAAAATGGTGATTGCAAACAGTGTGGAAAGTCTAACAGGCCTGGCTGAAAACAGTTACAATTCAAGCAATAGTTATTTTTCCTTTGTGTCGAGGCTATATACCCATCAAATAAAATAAAACAAAATAACGATAATGATAACGATGATGATAACGATAACGATAACGATAACGATAACGATAACGATAACGATAACGATAACGATAACGATAACGATAACGATGACGATAACGATAACGATAACGATAACGATAATGATAATGATAACGATAACGATAATGATAACGATAATGATAACGATGACGATAACGATGACGATGACGATAACAATAAGGATGACGATAACGATAATGATAACGATAATGATAACGATGACGATAACCATGACGATGACGATAACAATAACGATGACGATGACGATAATGATAACGATAACGATAACGATAACGATGACGATAACAATAACGATAATGATAATGATAATGATAATGATAACGATGATAACAATAATAATAATAATAATTATAGTAATAATAAAACGCCTGGCAATAATTATAACTATTATATTTTTATTGTTCTGGCCAATGCAAAGTAAACTTTAAATACAAGGGCTACACAGCATATTTATGCAGATCCATCAGTATAAAGTTCAAGCTTTAGCATTAATTAGTTCTTAATATTGTTTTGCAACGCTGAGGACATTTTTCTATCTTTTATTTGTAGAGTTTGTGAAGATGATGACTACTAAGTGATTCAAGAGCATTCAATTCTACTAATATCCACAAGACTGCTTTCCAATAAAATAACCATAAGCTATTTCATGTTACCGCCGTCCTCTACTTTGTTTAGGCATATTCTTTAAAATAAAATATTCGTTTACGAAAGTTTTAGGCTAGGTTTTACAGACATGTATCAGCTGTATTTTGTGAGCTAAACACAATCTCCCATAGTTAACTTTTCTTATGTATAATTTCGCAGATGTCATTGATCAGTTAAACGATATTGACATGTTTTAGCAAAGTATTCTAAATCTAGTTTACTAATCCACCTGAGTACACTGATATAGGTTAGATATTCCATTCAGGTAACAGGAGAAACAGCGAACTCCACTGCAACGTTTAGTTGCAACATTTAAACTTTTGGGATCGAATTACCTATCAAATCTGCACTGTTAACTGAACACTATACTAGGAAGCAAAAGAAAAGTGACGGAAGTAGAAAAAAAGTTGAAGATACACACTGATATTGACAAACTGTAGATATCTTTAAGGTGAAGGTTTTGCAAAATGCTATGCAATAAAAGTCCAATACTGTGTTGAGTCTGTGTCATGTTCCAAAACCACCCCCTCTATTGTAGTGTGGTTTAATTTAAAGAGGCCGCAGACTCTTTAGTATAACTCGGCTTGAAGTGTCCGTTGCAATTTCTCAGTTGTGAATGGCCTTTTGCTATTCTAGAACATAGACTGATGAGAACTGAAAGTGTGTCACTGAGGCGTACATTTCATTCTTGGCACTAAAGGCCTTGATATATCCCTTTAAAACCTTTACACTACGAAGTCAATCTGGGCCCTGTATTGAGTTGTTCTGTTTTTGTTGGTTTGCTTGTTTGTATGTCTGTTTTTTGGGAGCCGTGTCTCTTACCCTCATGTTGAAAGATTATTGTTATTATTAGTCTTAAAAGATATTTATCAGTTTTTATTTGGCTTCTTACTGCTGCCTAAAAGAAATATAAAAAATAGCGAGGTCCCCACGTCGAAGAGTCCCCACTCTTTCATTAGTTAGTGGAGAAGAATTTGACTTACTGAATCGAACGGGTCCAATAATATCGTATATTTATTTGAATTACAACAACTTCTGTAGTAATTCTTCGGTAGCTATTTTGTGAGGGTCTCAATGGGGTTAACCGATATGCGTAAAACGGCCAAAAATTTACTCGATAGCCGTAAAAATTGAAAAATTTTAACCGTTAGCCATAAAAAGGGTAAAAAAGAGTTAACCGTAAAAGAAATTGTTCCCTAGATTTGCTCCTTTTGAGGAAGGTACTAAACTCACTTATGGTTGCGTTTTTTTTTTATTTCCCGGCTAGTGTGGCTCCGTACGCACGTTAGGTAAAGCGCCTTTTAGGTGTTTACCAAGACCCATTTCCATTTCCGCCGCTCTCTCGGGGAACTAATTTTTTTTCCATAGCGAAAGTGTGGATTCTTGGAGGGGATTAATATTTGTGATTTTCAGAAGGTCGTGCCCTCGAAACACTATTGAAACAACACGCACAGATCTCACTGTTTGTAAAACACGTTGAACATAAACAACATTTCTCTGTTTTTCTCTGACGCTGCGGTAGACATTGCCATGCCTAGTCCCTCTACGGTGTCTTCCCACGCAATCTCGGTCAAGGCATTTCGGAGGCGAACTCGCTCGGACCAGGTGATCCGAAACGCTTTAGCCGCGCGAAATAATGAGGCCTACGGACAAGGCAACAGCTGAGAGTGGTTCCGTACAGTCCTTCGCTATCATTAAAAACACCGGACACGGGAATTTTGTTATTGGTCGCTTTCACACTAGAGCTAGAAACGGATTATCCGTCTGAGGCTAGCCTGTGTATAGTCGCCCCCCTCCCGACAGACAACCCTTCTCCGATTTTTTTTCTGAGGGGAGGGGGCGGCTGTACACAGGCTATCTGGAACGGATAATCCCGTCTTCACACCGTCCGTCGAAATTGAAGGATAAAGTCAGGCGGATTGTTCATTCAAAGTTAAAACTATTCCATTTTCAAATTAAGACGTATTTACCTATGTGACGCGAATCATCAAATGGATAACCCGTCTCACACGAATAATCTGTCTCTAGTGTGAAATCGGCCATTTCTGTTGTAATGAATGTCGCGCCCCGGCCTTGAGTTGGACGTTCGCGTGCGTGCTTTTCTTTTTCACAAAGATTATTTTTGAATTGGCTATTGACATTTCTATGTATAAAATAATATTAGAGGTGGAATACTTTATAAAAAGTACGATCTATCAAATGTTAAAATTTGTCAAAAGAATAGCTTGTTTCACATCCCGAGATTATCTTAAGACCTTTATTTTGCTTTAACTGAGATACAAAAAATACAGGTTAATTAATATTTCACTTTTTGAAACAAAAGAAGTTAATTTTTAACTTTTTTGTTAACCGTAACTGAAAAAAAATTAGCCGATAGCCGTGAAAGAGCCAAGATTTTAGCCGATAACCGTAAATGCCATCACCCCATTAAGACCCTCTTTTGTCCCGTAACGTTGAAGCTTGATAAGGTAACTTGGGCTCTGCTTGGGGTAAATATTTAAGAGTTAAAGCGAAGCCTGTTTTCAGCCATGACGGCGGGGAAAACGCTAATAATCTGGAATTGAGCTTAATGTGCCCTCCCCCCCCGCTACCCCCCAAAAGGCCCTTGGTTCTTCGCTGTTATATTGGGGCATCTCACAGGTTTTACACCAAATTTAAATTGATTTAGATCAAGCGAGGCACTGATTTAGCAACGGTTAGTCTTTCAAATTATATGCACTAAGCAAATGGCATACGAGTACGTTGTATCACCTTTCTAGTAGTTCTGGTGGTGATTCTAGGTAAGCAATGCAAATATTTGGTTTAAGAGTACACTCAAACGTCAAGCTCTGCAGAGTTTGTTCTGATAATAGTTTGAGTTTTAATGCATTTGAAGTGAAGGGAACGGCCTAATTTTGGGGTATCCACTTTAGTCACAACCGACAAGACTACGTGACATAACGAGCTTTGTCCAATGACCAAGATCGTCAACTTCTGCACTAATCGTTGATTCAAAAGTGGGGGTGCATAGAAGGCCTGCGATTTCTTTTTACTCATATGAATTTTTCGAGGAATTTTAAAAATTTAACAACCTCTAGCGAGACTAACGAAGAAACTTGTGTTTATTAATAATTTGAACCCAAAGCAAAACAGGGTAGAAAAGAAAGGTAACCTCTTGAAAATAGTTTGAAAAATCTATGATAAAAGAGGCAGTCTGTTGCCTTATGACGCGATATTGGTCATCATCTGCACAAACTCTGAAATGAGAAAACACAAAGTTTTACCAGGATTTGGTCTTTACTGGTGAAGACGCACTTAATTTATAGTTTATCAAGACAAACGTTTTCCTGTACTACGAAACGGATAGGCGCGCTATAAACGTTTTGCCCTGCATTGCTCAGCCTGGGAAAAAGCCATCATTTGGCGACGCTACCACTGGTTTCCCCGCCAAATGCTGTCTGAGAAACGAGCGCAGAAATTCCATACTGATGACGTGTCACTTCCCAGATCTAGGCAGTACTTCGGTCGTGCCGCGTGGGAAATTTGATTCAACCAATCAGAAACACTACCCAGATCTGGTTAGTGACACGCCATCAGTATGTTATTTCTGCACTCGTTTCTCAGACGTCTTTTGGCGGGGAAACCAGTGCTAGCGTCGCCTGTTTTCTTAAGCTACGCATTTCTATGCTTAAAGAGGTGTATTGCCCCATGTAAAGGAATCCAAGGCGGTCTTGGATTTTGCATTCCACGCCGTGGATTCCGGATTCTAAGCACTGGATTCCAGTCTTTGTCAGTGGAACTTGAATTCTGAATTCCCAATACTTACTTTGTATTCCGGTTTCCAGAATCCAGGATTCCGGATACCAAAAGCAAAATTTTCTCGGATTCCAATTGAAACAAAAATTTTCTGGATTCCCTTACATAATGCAAAGTGTAGCCTCGACGAAGACGCTGATAATGATCGCAGTTACGTCATTTGCGTCATTGACAACAAATAATGCAGCAAGCGACATTCCCTGCATGGGTTGTAAGAGCGTGGCCTTTGAAATTGATAGCTTGCAGTGCGTGTTTGCAAAATTGGGCGACAAAGTAAAAATGAGAAGCGGGTTCACCATGCCATTGTCAGTTTTCTTGATAAAGCTACAGATTTTTATAAGTATTTGCATGAGGGGTAGAATTCCCTTAGTCAGAAGGCTATGCTGCAGTCAAGGATGTCCAGGGTTCGATTGGGGCCCAGCCAAAACCATAGCCTGCGAAAACATCCGTTTCTCCTAAAAGAGAAATGAAAGTACTGTCTTTGCCCTGCAACCGCCAAGACCTTTACGCGACCAAGATGATCAATTAGAAATGGTTGCGCTTTCTCTACTGAGAAGGAGACATAAAACAGCTCTAAATACAGTGACGCCTAAACTTATGTGACGTCAGTTGAGTGGGGGCTGTCATGGTTAAAACTTGTTTTGTCCCAATGAGTTATTATTCTTGCAGCTCTTGTCAAATCGCTTTCCTGCGTTGCTTACGCAGCAAGGCAAAATAGGTGAAGGTTAACGTCATATAAGATCACTTACCTTCAAAGCTGACTTGCCCGTCCGAGTCGCAATCAGCTTCCTTCATCATTTCATCAATTTCTTCGTCTGTCAGTGATTGACCCAGATTAGTCATAACCTGAAAGTTCATAGCACAACTTTATTATTTGCGACGCTCTGCGTTGAAGACACCTCTAAAACCGGAAAACCTTCCAAAGATGATATTTTTGTACCCGAGTATTTGCCTCCAGATTTTCAGATACTAAAATATGCGTCGTAATTAAGGTTGTGGCTGGTGGTTAAGGTTGACATCCATCTTTGGTTCTGTAGGTAAGGGTTGAGGCTCCCCGGAGTCCTTTTCTCTGACCAAGAGCTTATTTGGCATCATGCAAGGTTTGTGCACAATTTAGTACCTGCAACGTTCTGCCGGGAATGGTCCTAATACTTCGTTTCTAGGGTGTTTTTTTCCCAGAGTTCATCCTCTTGGAGATTAAAGACCCTGGGGACGAGGGTGGGTAGCCCAGCGATGGTCACGCAACTCATCCAGGGAGGGTCCTAGGTACTTACGTCACTAAAAACAGGGGACTGCTTTCACTTGAGGAACCCCATATGCAAAAAATAAGCACAGGAATAAGTCGTCTATAGCTTGAAGCAATAACAACACCAACTAAAACCTCTTACTAAGTGATATAGCGTTGTTTGGACTTTATCGTGGTTAGTACTAGCCCAATTCACTCTATTGTCAATTGTGGGCGAACCTTCCTGGAGTTGAATTGTTGAGATCAGTATCCAACTTCGATTCTGAGAGAAAGAAAAGTTGCTAGACGTTGTGTTTACGTCATTCCTCCAAGATAATTGCGTCTACCTGAAGATAATGTGATGATGATGATGACGATGATGATGATGATTATTTGTGATGATTCTTATGGTGCTATTTCGTAATATTTAAAAGAGACTATGGACCTGTTTGAGTTCGTCGGACGAGATGTAACCGCTGCCATCTTTATCAAATACATTGAACGCATTCCTCAACTCGTCTTCCATCGTCATATTGGCTTGCTTGGAGGCCATTAACTGCAAAAACTCATCGAAATCTATCTCACCACTTCCTGGGGAAAGGAATGATTGAATGATAAAGTTAACTCAAGAAACGAGTCTAAAGGGCCTGCCCAGTTTTGAAGATGTGTGGTATCAAACCCCATTATAATGCCTCCTATATTCTTTAGACTTCACTGAGAAGGAGAACATTTTAACGCCAAAGTGTCCCGAGGCTTTGTATTTTTATTGCAGCCTTTAATTCTCAAACTAATTAACCTGTTTTCATGGAAAATATTTCAATATTGTCACTCTTGACGTTGTATTAAGACATCCTATCCTCATAATCTGGCATACTCTGAACTAGTGTAGTCGTTTTATGTTACAATGTCGTGAAATGAAATTAACTATAAATTGACGGAGATTCAACAGGGCCGAATCGCCGCTACTCAGTTTTTTTTTCAACATCAGACTCAAAACATTTGGTTCCATGCTCCCCATATGGGTTCCTAAATCAGTGTATAAAGTACCTGAACTCCTGTAAAGGTCATAATCATACAATATAAGAATGGGTATTGTATGCTTGCCACATAAATATGCAGACGATTAAACACCTCTTTTCGGGAAGATCATGTATTTCATCAGATTCTCATAGCTCTCGCTTAGGGATGCGTTTGTTGCGTCTGTAGGTACTGAGTCACAGTTGCCTTATTACTTACTACAGTCGCAGTGTCTTTTGTCTGTAGTTCGTGCGGATATTTCTGTCCCCTCCCCATAAATAAATTGTCTATATATATTTAAAACTGAAAATAGAAAAAGAAGTTCCCAGGGTTGGAGAAACGTACAGACGCTTGGAACGAAATGTCACTGCAAAAATACCATTCCCTGTACTTCCAAGGTAGACAGTCCTGGTAGGCTATACGTATCCGGTCCTCAGCTACCCCATATTTCATTGCCTGTGCTTCCCAGGTCCTTTCCCCTGCAGGCGGGCTATCCATACCGCCTTTATACACCCCATCATTCCTTATACTTCCAAGGTAATACTCCTGGTTAGCGAGCTTAATACCTATAGTATTTATCTACCCCAGATATCATTCATTCCCTGTACTTCCCAAGACATTTCCACTGTAGGCGGGCTATCCGTACCGCCTTAACTTTAAGTAAACCCCAGAATCATTCCCCATTTTTTTAAGCGTCATATTCCTTGTTAGCGGTATTTTCGTACCGTCTTTATCGACGCCAGATATCATTTCCTGGACTTCCGCCTCAGTTGGACTCTGTCCTAACGCTTCAAATACTTGCTTGAGTTCTTTTATGCTTATTGTTCCCCCACCATCCTTGTCAAACAGCTGAAAAGCCTCCCTGTACTCTATAAGGAAAGGACGGTGAAAAAGCAACCATTATCTGAGAAATGATGTGATTAACATGCCACGGACACGGGAAAAAGACAAAATCTGAGTCCCCGATAGGAATTGTACCTATGGCCTTCCGTATCGACTGGTCGGATGCTCTAGCCACTGAGCTACGAAGGACTCGTGGCAAGCTAGGCCATATACAAGGTTCATGTATGACATACGTCCTGCATACTGCTATATAGGATCACATCATTTCTACTTCTCCACCGGGCTGAAAATTTACCATCATTCTTTATTTATCACTAACCATTATCTGTTTATTGATTGTATAATTTTTATGGACATCCTTAAACCAACAAAAGTGAATAAATAAATTAAAATGATACATAAATGAATCAATGAAATAATGATCAGCCAAACCTGATATTTCTTCATCTGTAAATTTGTCGACCTACGAACGAAACAAGAAAATTTTTCTCTCCGTAACATTCCTCTTGATTGCCCGAAACGTCTGAGTTCACTTGATCGTTTAAGTGTGCTGAAGTGCATGCGCAGAAGGCGAAATGTTAAGAAAAAATGTCTTGATTATTGAATAAACAAACAAACAAACAAATAAATAAATGATTGAATAAATAAATGAATGAATGAATGAACGAACGAACGAACGAACGAATGAATGAATGAATGAATGAATGAATGAATGAATGAATGGATGGATGGATGGATGGATGGATGGATGGATGGATGGATGGATGGATGGATGGATGGATAGATGAATAGATAGATACTAGATAAATTGATTGGTAAATTAATTTAGACAGTAAGACGAGGAAGGGAACTTGAAAAGACTGGAATTAGGAATTTCGTAACAGATCTTATCTATTCCGTGCAACAGTTTCCACACCTGACCTGAGTTGTTCAAAAGGTAGATAGCGCTATCCACTGGATAAATCACTATCCATTGAGTAATGCAATTAGTTTATGGGGCCTGAAAATTAAGGCTAATTCACCGTTCGGTTGATGCCTTTGGCCCTTGTGCGAAAGGTGAATTCTTTGCGTGTGTCACGCTCGTGGAACAGGGACAGACCCCGTGCGACGAGCGGGATGTTCGCGTTTGCATTTGTTTTGTTTTTGTGGAATGGATCTCTAGTTTATATTATCAAAAGCAAGAAAGTATACTTAGAAGCAGTTAATCTGTTTTGGTCAGGCAGGATTTTTGATTTTTACTCAATATATCATTCAAACCAGACGACAGAACATGTTCAGAATGATCGTAACTGCACTGTAAATAAAGCGATGAAAATAAGCCATTTTTGTGGACAATTCTTCGACAAGAATCGCACTCTTTTTATTACAAAGATTTGATGTTTATACTTGCAAATGCACTTTACGAATTTGACTCGGCAGTTTGTAAAACTTTGAAGATTTATTTAGTGTTATGATCTGCATAAATAGCCATTTTTGTTAAACAGATATTTTTTAACCTCTTTGGCTCGCTGGGTCTCAGTTCAGAATAATCACTGACGGAACTTAAAACACATGAAACGTTCAAGCGATATTTTATACCACTTTAAAGAGAGCGTTCCTATACCATTAAACCCGCACTAAATTGTGAAACCGAGAGAGGGAGAAATAGAAAAAGTAATGCTTCCAAATAAGCCCTTACGTATTGGCGTTCCTAAAAATTCATTTGCCCAACATTTTTAAACACGACCTGGAGATAAGCAACATTTTTTTATTCTCGGAAGGAAGGAAAGGCTTCGTTTATGTCTTTGGACGAAAAAATGCGAAAACTTCGATGTTGGAGACCCCTTTAATTATTCGTTGTGCAATAATAGCACAACCGACAGAATGTAAGACTACTTTCTTTTGAGCGAAAACCATCACAGATTGCCTTCCAAATGTGCAAATCAAAGTGGGGCAAAATTGAACTCAGAAGCGGAAAAACCAGTACCGTACTGAAGAGCAATGGCTATTGTTTAACAAGTGCGTATAGACTTACCATATTGAAGAAGGTCCTGTGTCTATCAAAGGCGTAAATGAATCAGTGTCTGTTAATAGCCTTGCCGGATTGCAAGAACGTGAAGGTTGAAAAGAAATTGAACATCATAACTGTCACCAAGTGACAGCTTGATATAAATGGCAATCGATCTCAGTCATGTAATTAGAAACAGCTATTAAATAATAATGATAATAAATATAAAGATATAAAAAGAAAAGATTCTTCTAATTTACAATTTTATGGAAACAAGCAAACCAAGACTAGGCAATGAAAAAAAGTAATAACTTGCATTAATTAAATCTAATAAAAAGTTCCGGTATTACTTAAAAAAATTGATAGTCTAAAACTACTTCCGGTTGTCTTTGCGAATAAATTTACAAACGGGTGTATAGTGTCCAAGACTACTAGCAAATAACACTGCTTTTGAATGTTCTAGAATCGTAGGATAGTGACAGGCTACAATAGGCTTTAAAACCCTTTGACCCCTGAGCGCGCTTTTTGGCGCGCTTCCAAATAAGGTGTACGTTTTGTCCTAAAAAAGGCTCCGAAAGGCTCCATATTTTGTCAAATGACACTTTATGATTCTTATATGAAGTTGTTTATGGTATTATTCCATTTCAATCGGTTTTTCGCCATTTTCGACTAACGTTTTGGCAATATTTCCTCGCTGTGCTGATGATAACATTTAAAAATGGCGTCAGACACGAATGGAGTTGATCGAACTATATTCGCAGCACCTGATTTTAGCCATGATCCAGGTTAGGTGAAGATTAGTCCGATTAAATGGACGAAGATACTGGCAACAATTCAGAGCTTGAGCATGCAGATACACGGTGTGGTGGTCAAGAAAATATCGAAGAAAGAGAGCAAGCGGGCGCTTCGGTGGCCACAAAATGGACAGTGTCAATTGTAAGAGACTGCTAAAGGCAAAAAGCTCTCCAAAGAAACTTTAAGTTAATACATATATATATTTTGAAACCCTGATATGTCTACTTTCTAAATATGTACGGTTATAGGCACTTTTACCTCAAAGGGAACTTTTGAGATGTTATTTAGTGTATGTATGCAAAACTGAAGCAATATGACAGAAAAACTCAGGAGTCAACGGGTTAAGATCCAACGACGCGAGGGAAACGAGAACTTCGCTTAGAAAGGAAAATTGCTTTCTTTTAGTCTTTATTGTATTATTCCTACAAACTTGCTTTGTCAAATGTAGGCGAATCCTCCTGAAATTGAATTCCTAGGGACCATATCCAAGTTCAAAAAGAGAAATAAAATTTCGTCGTTGCTTGTTTATGTCCTCCATAAAACGCGAAATTATGTATTTTTCACGTCGTAGTCGTGCAAAAACGGGCAAAGGAATATACAAAAAAGCGTGATGAACGTGTAAAGTTGTTGTTTTACTTATAAAACCGTTTTTTTTTACGTTCTCGTTGCCGTCCGCTTCGTCGGATCTTAAAGCCCTTAATGTCTTCATCTGACGGCGGGTAAGGGGGTTGGGGGTTCAGGGTTGGCGCAACAGAATGCATTATTTGATTAGATTCACAAACGATTTCTTTCATTAGTGACTGCAAGAACCTTAGTGGGACTCTTGGCGACTTTTATTCCTTTATGACGCCGAGAATGACTTCAACAAAAGGCTATCATGACATCCCAAGTTAAACAAACCTTTATTTATTGGAACCATAATGATTATTGTATGGGGGCGTGGGACAAAAAAACTAAAATGACGACTTAATATCGATTCACAGCAAAAATATGACAAATAGAAAAAGAAGATGCATGCTTCCACTTGAATAATAATCTACAACAATTCACTTGAGGTGAGTAGAAAAAAATAATTCGCCTTCATTGAAAAGTAACGAAGGCTAACTCCATCTAATCACTGCTGACAATCCTTGTGAACTCTGCAAGGGCATAAAACAAACAAAACAAAGGTTATACCACTATTATTTACCGTTCCACCTCGTAAAACACGCTTACAATTGTGACATATAGAAACAAATGGAAGATATAAGTGCAAGAAAGAACGGGGTGCGCGAGGAAGACGTGCGAGGGGAATTTTTTCGCCCAACGCGAAAATTTATCCCCCTCGGGAGTCTCTTAACCAATAGGAATTTTCTGCACACTCAAAAAGCGAGTAAAAACTATTTTCATGGGCCTCTCAGGCAGGCGCTCCATCTCCCATCGCGTGTCTCCCTCGCGCGGCCCGTTCTTTCTTGCGCCGTTACTTCCAGGCGCCAAAAGTTCGGGTTTTTTACCTTCGGAAACTTCGCTCATTTTCTTAAATTGTATCCTTAAATCATGTTTAATGCGACTCGATCAGCTTAAAGAACGTTGGCTGGCAGAAATTACACGGAAAACAAAAAATTATTTTGTTTATATCAGCCGGGAGCCCAAGTTTCAGCCTTAAATGACTGCATGCACAAGAAGTGACGAGTAGCCATTTACCTTTCATGTCAACCCGATTATCATTATTGACATCTGCCTTGGTGAACATATGTTTAAGCTCGGAATCACTCAGGTTCTCTCCACAGTTACGCATCACCCTCTTCAGGTCATCAAATGTTATAAACCCATCATTATCTGCGTCAAAAAGACGGAAGGCCTGGCGAAGTTCCAGCTCTCCGGTCTTTTGTTTTGTCTGGGACATCATGACCAGGAACTCATTGAAGTCTATGTGTCCACTGCCTGAAAATGGAATTACAGTAGTGAGCTAAGCTAGAGCCAGAAAACGGCCATGGAATCAGAGGACGTCACTACCTGAGTGTTCCAAAATGGTGGCAATATTTTGCGTACTATTTAAGAGGAGGGACTCTCTCTACAATAGGTCATTTCCGAGTTCCCTTGAGCCTTTGTATCAAAACGAGGTTAGGTGTTCAGCCTTTGATATGAAAGAGATTTTTCATTCTCAAGCAAACGTAACTTATTTTCTCGAGAAAGGTTGTGCATTTGGCCTCATTTTGAAAGCGAGGGTTTTGGAACTCGGAATTGGCCTATTGGACTTCAGGGCGGCTAGTAAGCACCCTCAAAATCAAATAAAATTGCGACATTAATCGGCTCTACTTTGGTAATGTCGACACCTGTAATCGCATATGTTTGCCTTTCGATTTTTCAATTGAGTTAAGTGGCTTAAGACCCTGTGACCACTGCTCTGTTTCACGCTCATCGTTACATCGTTCAAGTGTGATCTGAAAACTTGAACAGACTCCCTTGTAGACTAAGGCCTGTTTCAAACGTCGTGCTACTGCCGTGTCGAACCCACTTGATAGAATTAATTAGACTTTGGCACGGCAGTGGCGCAGCGTTTGAAATCATTCAGTTCAGCAAACGTGAATTTAGTTCGACACAGCAATTAAATTCGACAGGGTCTGCCGTGCTACACGGCAGTGGCACGGCTCGGTTTCAAACGTCGCGCGTTTGTCGGGCCGAACTCAGTTAATTCATAAGTTATGAAAATCTATATGTTTGAGTGTTTTGACTCTACTGCGCCTGACTGCGCATACTGTAGCTGACCGTGGGCGCTGGATGGAACGTTTGTTTTGACGTTTTCTTTATTTTGAATTTGGCGCGACTGAATTAAATTCCACGTTTTAAACCACTCCCGTGCTATTGCCGTGCAACTACCGAGTCAAATTCATTTGAGTTCAACACGGCAGTAGCGCAACGTTTGAAAGGAGCCCTAGCCTCGCTTAAGAATGCGCATGCTCACCATCAGCATCGACATCTCTTATCATGTCTTCCAGTTCCTGGGGAGAAGGATTCTGTCCCAGTCTCCTCATGACAACTCCAATCTCGTCAGTGGTGATGAAACCGCTGCCGTCATGATCAAAAAGTTCGAATGCCTCTCGAAAATCTGATTCAAAGTACACAAGAAGTTATTTCAAACTCTCTCACACACAAAACACTTGAGATCAGTTGATTAAGCAACAGCACAAAGCAAAAATTGTATGTAAAAACTTCTGTTCTTTTTACCCCTAATCATCATTAATTACCAAGGTTTATAATTAAATAAAGCGTGTGGCGATGATGAAAGCAGGTAAATTAGCACCCTGCTAGCGAAGACTTTCTTTCATTTCCTCGATTTGGCGTACTTGAGAAAGACACTGAATGAATTGAGCAAAATATTTGTTGAGTATGCATGCTTATTGCTGGGATACAGCTTTAGACGCAGGCCTAAATGCCGTGTGCCAGGTACAGCGGGCTCAGCTATAATCACCAATTTATCAAGTGACAGATACTTGCACTCGGAAATTCAGTTTGAACGATAAAGAACAAGATCGACTAATCCAGAATCATAGGCTTCGTCGAATTTAAAGGTTAGAAACGATTCGGGCAGAGCCGCCGCTTCTCCTCCTCCTCACCCAAGAAGAAAAAAAAGAGGCTTCGCTCTCAGAGTGGTTAATTAGCGCCCCAATTCTTCAAAAATTACACAACAAATTTAAATTTTTTGCCTTAATAACTTGACGGTAAAGCATTAGGCCACTGGGTGTGCCTGCTTTTCTAAGATATCTGCAATAGAGGGCACATATCTTTGGGACAGACTGTAGTTAAAAATCCTTTCGAGAAATTAAAAAATGTATATATCATTCCCGCAAATTAAGTGGTAAAAACCACTTTTCCGATAATTTGCTAGAGATGTACAGTAAAGTGTTAACAGCGCTTAAAAGACATTTCCTAGAAGTGATGTGGAATGGGCGGGTTTCTTGTGTTAAGTGTCCCAATATTCCTTCGTTGGAGCTAGTCAGTTGTATCATAGTTAATTGAGTGGAATGGCCCGTTTCTTTTGTTTCTGTTTTTTGTGGACCTGAAAGAAATTCAAAAGAATTCCTATCATTTTGAGATGAAAAATAAAAAGGCAAAACATCACAACAATGCCAAAGCATTTCACGGAATAAAACATGATTTAAGTTTTTTTTATCATTGATGTTTACTTTTCATAATTATTTGATTTAATGGTTTTGTCCTATTTCTTTTCCTCTCTGAAATGTGCGCCCGCTTAAAACTCAAACATCAGCCGCAAGACGAAAATTGATTTAAGTGTTTTTTAGGAGGTGTACTTTTAATTATTAGATTTAAGGTTTTGTCCTGTTTCTCTCTGGAATGTGCGCCCGCTTATCTCAAATTTCAGCTAAAACGATGAACTGTTTAAAAGGTCAAATTGTTAAATAATAATAATAATAATAATAATAATAATAATAATAATAATAATAATAATAATAATAATAAAAAAAAAAAAAAAACAAAAAACTACACCATCATTGATGTAAACCTAAAATCAATATTAAAGTCGTTCGTTTCTTAAAACAGTGCTTGCTTATCAAGCATACCATAGTCCATACGCTTTAGAAATTGATTTTTCTTGTACGAAATTGAGGGGGAGGGGAGGGGTGAATAGCTCCTACTTGGAAAGGGCTCTTATGGCTTTGGGGGTGGGCGCTTATTCGAGGAAATAAGACCTTTATTAATAGGCTTTTCTAAACTTTAGGTTTGATATCATTTTTTGTTTAATTTCAAGTTAAAAATATTGTTCTGCGTTTGCAATTAATTCACAATGACGATCTCTAGGCCCACCTTATTTCTCCGCTGACAATTAAATGTCAAGGTGTTAAAAAGCCTTCAAATACTGGTCATTCATATTTAAATATTTTACTCATTCACCTATTACAAATATTTATCAAATCAGCACGAGAAGGTAAATGTTATTAGAAGAAAGTGTGATAGCAACGTCCTCAAATGGCTCTAGGCTTCTACCACAATTTATAATAAAGTATGTGCCGTCAATAATTTGCAGTTATTTTCTTTTTGGAGCGAAAAAATAGTTCATCGAACGAAAAACACATACTTCCTAGATTGGTTTTTTCTGCTCCGTTAGCGTAGTCATCCCCAAAACAAAGCAATTATGTTGACGGAGTTTTAAAACTTTTGAAAACCACCCTTGTGTGACATCCGATGCCAAAATAGTGTAAACAATATTCGAGGACTACACCATTAAGTGTTGTATTGACTTCTCTACAGTTTGCGCGAAATAAAGTAAGTTTACCCAATCTAAATATCAACTTAGAATTCTGATTTTAGTCTTGCTGTGAAAGAGTGGAGAAATGTAAAGTGCCAACAAAAATAACTGACGAATGACTGACAATGTTCTATACGTTCTGTTAAAATATTCGAAGCGTTGCAGCATCGGAGCGGTGCTATTGGCAAGAGATCATACGCCCTTTTCTGTAGAAACTTCGAGCAAAATTTTTCGGGCGAAATTTGAACGCATTGATCGAAAATTAGAGAACTTTACGGCATTTCTCTTTGAAATTTCGAAGCAATAACACACGGCTTGTTTAATGTCACCATGTAAGCATATCCCGGTGTGTCATATACATAAGCCGTTTGCAAGTTTCTAAAGGAACCGACAGGTAAAATAACAACTAACCGTGGGTTTGCTAAGTATTTCTTAGTCCGTTAATTTGGATACGCATCTAAACGATCGATCGATTTGAGTCCCGGGTTAAATTTTTGGATACATTAAATAATGTTGTCTGTTTTACATTCACATTTGAAACGAAATGAACAATATATGAAAACGCTCTCAAACTTAAAACTACGTTATTACTTTAACACTATGTGAGAGAGTAGACAAAAGATATTGCCGCAATGCTTACCATTTTGTTTGCCGAGATCGAAAAAGCTTCGCTGAATCTTCAACAAATAATCCGCTATCTCAGATCACGAGTTTATAATCCTAACCGCCAGGGCGAGAATGGTAATTTGGGTGGAATTTATAAAACGAAGCTTGAAAACAGAATTTGCAATGCAGAGTAGTCTCGCTTCACAGATCGTAATTAGTAGTGACGTAACTCTAGAAAGTACAAGAAAATGTTGTGACGCCTAGAAAACTATTTGTGCTTGACCAATGGGATGTTCAAACTTTTTGAAGTGCAAGACATGCTCATTTTGACAGTTTTAGCAAGGCAAAAACACCAAAAATATTTCGAATGTTAATTAGAATCAACTTAATGAATCAAACGCTACAATATCAGTATCGATAGGAAGCGTCGTTAAATAAATCCAACACCAACCTTTCATTTGTACATCCATCAAAGTTGGATTTATAACGCTGTTGCAGTCGAATGAAGTGTTTACACGGACCCCAAGGCGGTGCTAATTATCTGTCATGTATATAGTCACCCCTTATTATTGCTCTTGAAGACAACAAAAGAACGACAATTGAGAAATTGTGGATGTACATATATTTGACTAACTATTTGACTAAGTATTATCCATGCTGGTGTGCAGTTTTATGGGAGACTCGTGTCGGAAACTCTGTGACGAATATACTTTTCTGTGGAATCAATAATCCTCAACAAAACGTAACGATCGCGTAAAAAGTACTTCAGCGACAACTCCAAGGAGAGTACCAGCTTTTTAAACCTTTGATAGGAAGTAAAGGAGCTGTGGAGAGGACGGGAACGGGCCAAAATACTTTCCTTTCTTATTCTTTAACCGCCAGTTATTGTAAAAAAAAAACAAAGGGTACATGTCCCAAGCTCAATGTCAAGACCTCTCCTTGAATACAGACGCTTAGTACCGTATTTATTCGATTAACCGCCTTGGGCGCTTATTAAATTTTTGGACCTTGAGAGTGGGCGCTTATTCGAATAAATACGGTATTCTCGTTTTCATGCTTACGAAAGATCTGTTGCAGTTCTAGATTGTTCTTATTTAGCATTTGGGTGACAGACCCTAACCTGCAAAGAATCACGATCGTTGGTGCTCCCAGAACCCGTTTGCATGGACACTCCAATCTCGCATCTGTTGTGCTTTACATTGTATCTGTTTCCTCTACTTAGCTGTTCTCCATAGATTTTTCGGAGGACTGGCTCAGTTTCAACATCACTGCATACCGTAGTCAGAGGTTTGCCTTCCAGAGATCTCTTATCTCGTTGTGGCGCTGAGTATAACAAAACCTCCCACTTTGTAAACCATAGAGTGGCTTACGTCAAAAAAGTTCCCCTAAAACACAGTTGGAGGGGATACCACCCACTGCCAAGTCATAGCGTAGTTTAACAGAGTCGCAGAATAGAACAGGAAGCACTGAGGGCCACGCCGATGACCCTTTTCCACCGCCAGATCTAGCTGACGCGAATGAGACACGATTTGTTGAACGATTGAAATAGAGCAAATAATCTACTAACTTATATAAGCAACTTCATTTACACAACTGGCAAAATTTCGCTGATATATTCCTTTAAATACTATCCGATCGTGAGCCTATCACCGCCCCGAGATGTTTCTGCCCTTGCACTGTTACATTAATAAACAACTCCTTGAATGCTTCTATGATATTTTTTCCTTAGCTGGTTTTGCAATAATCCAAAATCTGGAACAAGTAACATTAAAAGGGTCATCACCTAGCGCTCATCCCATCACTTCTTATTGTTGTAGAGTCAGCTACCCATCATAGCAAGGGGATCCCCTCAATTGTTCCTACTGCTGACATCTCTGATTTGTTTTTGTCTCTTTCATTCAGAGGGTCTTTTAAACGTTAAAAGTTAACCATCTTGGGGAAGAAATCATAGGAACATCAGGAAATTGCATGAAATATTACTAAAGAAGTTGAAGCCGTCGCGATGAGTCTCAAATAGCCCCGAATGCAATACGCTGTGGCCATTTTCATATAATAGACCAGTCGAATGAAGTGCCAAAATACTTTCCTTTCTTATTCTTTACCCGCCAGTTATTGTAAAAAAAAAAAAAACAACAAAGTGTACATGTCCCAAGCCCAATGTCAAGACCGCTCCTTGAATACAGACGCTTAGTACCGTATATATTCGATTAACCGCCTTGGGCGCTTATTAAATTTTTGGACCTTGAGAGTGGGCGCTTATTCGAATAAATACGGTATTCTCGTTTTCATGCTTACGATAGATCTGTTGCAGTTCTAGATCGTCCTTATTTAGCATTTGGGTGACAGACCCTAACCTGCAAAGAATCACGATCGTTGGTGCTCCCAGAACCCGTTTGCATGGACACTCCAATCTCGCATCTGTTGTGCTTTACATTGTATCTGTTTCCTCTACTTAGCTGTTCTCCATAGATTTTTCGGAGGACTGGCTCAGTTTCAACATCACTGCATACCGTAGTCAGAGGTTTGCCTTCCAGAGATCTCTTATCTCGTTGTGGCGCTGAGTATAACAAAACCTCCCACTTTGTAAACCATAGAGTGGCTTACGTTAAAAAAGTTCCCCTAAAACACAGTTGGAGGGGATATCACCCACTGCCAAGTCATAGCGTAGTTTAACAGAGTCGCAGAATAGAACAGGAAGCACTGAGGGCCACGCCGATGACCCTTTTCCACCGCCAGATCTAGCTGACGCGAATGAGACACGATTTGTTGAACGATTGAAATAGAGCAAATAATCTACTAACTTATATAAGCAACTTCATTTACACAACTGGGCAAAATTTCGCTGATATATTCCTTTAAATACTATCCGATCGTGAGCCTATCACCGCCCCGAGATGTTTCTGCCCTTGCACTGTTACATTAATAAACAACTCCTTGAAAGCTTCTATGATATTTTTTCCTTAGCTGGTTTTGCAATAATCCAAAATCTGGAACAAGTAACATTAAAATGGGTCATCACCTAGCGCTCATCCCATCACTTCTTATTGTTGTAGAGTCAGCTACCCATCATAGCAAGGGGATCCCCTCAATTGTTCCTACTGCTGACATCTCTGATTTGTTTTTGTCTCTTTCATTCAGAGGGTCTTTTAAACGTTAAAAGTTAACCATCTTGGGGAAGAAATCATAGGAACATCAGGAAATTGCATGAAATATTACTAAAGAAGTTGAAGCCGTCGCGATGAGTCTCAAATAGCCCCGAATGCAATACGCTGTGGCCATTTTCATATAATAGACCATAATGTGCCTTGTATATCTCAACAAATTTTTCTCTCGGGACGACTGTGATTTTAGGGGGTAAACAAGGTGCATTATGGTCTATGGGAAAATGGTAAATTACTCTAGTAGTTTGGTTTTATTGTTTCTTATAAACTTTTGCCGCAATCGATTTTGTTAGCTTGCAGAACGTATTCCTTGTCATTTTATTCACCGTCTGCTTGGCGTATGTAATTTGGTTTGTTTTCTTTGTTTGTTTTTCAATGCGAATTAAATTTTTATTGCATAAGTTATATCAGCAAATTTCCTCTTAATAAACATGTTTGATCGGCGACACTTGTTGCGTTTTAAGTTACAAATATATGCGTTGTAGGTGTGTAAAATTTTGGAAAGCCTGCCCCTGAAATTTAGTCTCAAAGGAACTGAGTTCTATTGGAAAGCAGTAATGTTTAGGTGTAAATAAGATTTTGCCGACCACGTCAGTGCATTTTCAAAGTTTCGAACGTTAATCCAAGTTCCTTCTCCGTGCGAGCGGATCATAGTTTCCGTCCAATTTCGCTGTTCTATTGCTGTTTGTTTAACTAAATAAATTGTTTAAGGGGTGGATTTGCCTTAAGCTCCTGAAATGTGGGAACATTTTTTAACTGGTGTGCGCACTACGATTGCGATGCATTGTGGATGCAAAATTTCCAAGATGGCGGCGAAGGTCGAGAAAGTTCGCAGGTTATATGCTTTGTTTTTCAATAGACATAGTTCTTTCCTTAGATCGTTTTTCTCAATTTCATAAGCTAATATTTGTTTAGATTTTTTCTGTGAAGAAAAACAAATCTTTATTCTTTATTTCAATCTAAAACGTGAGTCTTAGTAATAACTTGGCAGGTAATTTTTGCGGTTAACACGCGCTTACACGAACTCGCAACTTAAAGATATCACTGTAATTGTTTTTCCTGCTCCCGTCTTTTTTTACCCGCATGGCGTGATGCAGATATGTCCTTTGTATGCGTGCTTATGGCATACACGAAATTGACGGCGTCACGCAATAACCGTCAAATCAAGCATAGATAACTAAATTCACCGAATATCTGATATTTTGGCCTATTGGATAGTTAATGGCCAACGGTCCTGTACCCGACCACATAGCCAGTCCCAAGACTAGGTTGCCTGAAGCGGTGTGCAAGTGGTTTTAGTAATAGATTTGTCATTTATACGACACTCATTAATTTTTGAATAAACGATATGCAAATCTTAAGAGAAATCGTCCAAAAAGCTAAGATTGTCAGGGAAGACTTGTTTTGACAGTTTTCATCATGAGAAGAAATAAAGAAAAAAAATCATAACTAGAGCTCGGAGAGAAAACAATGAAATGAAACGAAGAAAAAGTAAACTTCGTTGCTATCGCATTTCGCTGTTATGCAAATGAAAGACAAACATCTGAGCCTCTGTTTACATGTGTCGAATACGAAAATACCATATAGGACGTAACTGAGAATGTGTCAAAACTATACCAACCGAAACTTCGATATTTCATGGGAATGTCATAAGTGCCGATCGACTTTGTATTTCATTGCAATCAAGGCGGGGATTCGAGGTAAAATTAGCCATGAATAGTTTCTTGTGTCGTCTGTCGCCGGCCGGAATCGAAATTTTTCTCGAGATTCAACTCGTTTCACGCATCGTTTCAGCTTTAATATCGACTCGTGGGTCTTCAAGAGCAACGATTTTAGGCTTCCTATATTTATCCTACTGTATATTAGTGGACTTAACGCACTTCAAAATCAGCGAGGTGTTAACTTTTTTGTTGTTCGCAAAATTTTATCTCAGATAAAGAAAAACACAGAGGTCACCGCGATCTGGCGGCTCGGATGATCCTCATGACAACAACAATCAATTGGCCCTCACTTTCCTCGATTTACGGCAAAAATTACTGCCGAGATTTAACACCATATGATTTGCAGGTACATATACACCTGAGAAATATTTTTCACTCACCCATTTGGCCTTGAGATCTTCATCTGTCGTTTCTAGCGAATGGTATTTAGCCATTTTAGCCATAGCCATTTACTGTGTTTTCGTTTACCTTACTTTTTGTTCTTTTAAAGATGGGGGACTGGGGAGAGGTCTGTTTCGCAATTAAGAAGTTTGCCATGAAAATAAATATAGTAAATCTTCTATTAAGCCCCTCCCCCCTTCACTCTCTAATAAGCCGCCCCCTCCCCTCTCCTAATTTTTCTTCACTAATAAATGATAGACTCAGGATAGACTGTATTAATCAATCACGACTGAAAACTTCGTGTGGACTGATCCTGGATGGTTTATTAACCAACTGGAAGTTCGGATGTGATTCTGATCCCCGGCTTCATGACCTAAAACTTCCTGTACTTGAGCTTTTCCACTCCGTATTCGACTTCTTTATGGAGAACTGATACCGCCATCGTCCTTTCAATTAAATAAGCCCCCTCTCTCAAATAGGCCCCCCTCCCCTTAAATGGGCTTGAAATAAATAAAGCCCCCCCGGGGGCTTGATAGAGGATTTACGGTAAATAAATAAATGAAGAAAGAAAGAAAGAAAGAAAGAAAGAAAAAGAAATAAAGAAATAATATCAATAAATAAATAAATAAATTTAACTTAAAAAGGCTATCTACATCTGGCAATCGGAATAAGGCCTGTTCATATAAATGCAACATGCAACATTTTATCCACACACCCATATTTCACAAAAGGATGAACTTGAAAATTGGCTATAACAAGGGAAAAAAAATTGTTGTTCGTTTACTAGCCTGTTTGTTTCGGTTATTTCTTCCACCGTTGCTGTTTACCTAGTCTGCATTGCAGCCGGACTATGTTTATCCCCATTCAATAAATTCATTCAGGTGTTTATCAAACGTGTACTACTGCCATAGTTCAAAGGTCAGGGAGTTATGATTCCCGTTATGATTAAATTAAACAGCTTTGAAATAACGAGGTTCCTCTATGAGCAGTTAAAGTCGGCTATCTCTTATCTAATACCCAACGCCCACACGTGAAATAATTGTTCAAATTATGCTGTCACGCCTCGAGCGGTCTAACAAATCAAATCATGCAAATTAACAATATATATTACGATGTCACGTCTTGAATGGCTGCAATAGCCTGCGAGCAAGCTCTCCTATTTGGGCGAGTGAAGCGAATCTCGCGAGCGAGCGGCGAAGCCGCGAGGGGAGGCCCACTTCGCTTACCCAAATAGGAGAGCTTGCTCGCAGGCTATGGCTGCAATCGAATTCATCCCGTTTCATGGATCGTTTCCGCTTATCGATTCCTGGCCTTGGCAGGCTTTCTATTTTTTCCCCATTTTATCTCAGCGGCCTACTGTCACTTCTCAATTCAAGTACCAGTTTGTTTATTGTTATTTTCTTTTTCCCGGCTTTGGGAAGTACACTGTAGACTCGAGATTTACAGACGATACATGAAATATACGGGAGTCTCTTCAATGACCCTCAAGTGTAATTAATCAATCAGCTGTCCTTGGATATGCAGCAAAATGCATTGCCACAAGTCAATATCATATAACTTGTATACAATGTAGATAAAAATATAAGAAATAACTTCCACTTACCCATCGGGCTTTAAGATCTTCATCTCGTGTAGTTAACATCAGGGATGCCATTTTTATATGTTTTTGTCAGTATTACTTCACAGGAGACCCAAACACAACGAGTGACACAAAACGTGTGACTTTTGCTGATTGTTGTGTGAGTATTGTGCAATTTACGTGTAAACGTCGTAAGGTCCTCGCGTAACGTAACGTAACAAATAATATAAGTGTTTTAGTAAAAAAAGAAAAAAAAAACAAAGCAAACAAACATACAAACAAAAACAACAACAACAACAACAAAATGACAAAAACAAGCTAAAACCAAATTCAGATAAAAACGTTAACTACACTGCCTGATTTTCTAGGTTTCCTATGCCAATTCCTATGGGCCATTTTGAGCTCTTTCAGTGAGACCTCGAACATCCTGGGAATTGATTATGAAACTCGCTTGCTTCAGAGTAGTATTCCCATTGCTCGCTCTCGTCATACTAGAGCCCTATTCCAGGGGTGTGTGCGCGTTTCTTCCTCATGCAAGGGTGGCTTCCTGTGTATGAATAAACACGTGAGCAAGCAAATTTGTCTCGTTTGGCTGCAGGGGCGGGGAATTGGATTCATGCGCCGCGGAACCCCATTGTGGGGTGTGGGTGGGGTTGGTCTACCCCCGTTTTACTCTGTTTTTCTCTTATCTTGGTCTTGTCCTATAGCCCTCTCGCCTGCGGACAGGCGACTCGCATGTCCCGTAACTTATCTCTTGAGTTCCCAGACCTTTGTTAAGCGAGGTCTACTGAAAATAGATTATTATTTTGGCTTCAGCATGCGCCGGCCGCCAAACCTTAGGGTACGTTTTTCCCGTTGTCCAGCATTAAACAGAGTATACTGTTTGACTCTGCTAGAGTTTTGAACAAGGCTGTGATATTTCTTGAGCGAGCCCGACGAGTGTTGTGTTATCTGTGTTTCTAAGTGAAAAATAAAGATCGTTAACTCCATTAATTATAGAAATGAAGGGGATGTGAGTGAACTACATTAAGAAGGTTATCTACCAAAAATGGTTCTGCAGTTGATTGTTGAATGGCGCTTTGGAACATTATCTCTTTGTGACAAGATGTCATTGATTGTGTTCGTGATCCACAGCGCTCCACAGCAGCCTAAAGACAGCGCTGCGAGACACATAAGAGAACATTGTATTCTCCTCGATTCCTCATCAAAACGTTCCCTACCTGATGTATACTTCCCGAAAGACTTAACTTTACACTTGACATGACAAGCTAATGAGTAACTTACCTTTCAGGGGCACCCAACGACGGTTTCGTCCTAAACACATTGAAAACACTTTTTAGGCTATCCAGAGTACTTTTAGATATCTAGAAATGCATTCTAAGTGGCACTGTAAAATTTGTATCTGCTCGGTCGCCCTACGCCTAGGGAAACTTGAGTCTTTTGGAAATCACAAGGGTTTAAGTATTATTTTTCTGAAAATTTGAGATGAAATTTGGCGTATTAGGAAAGTCAGACATTTTTTAATTCCTCTCTCCATCACATTTTTAATTCAAAAATTTTAGGTTTCCCGTTTCTATGAAAAAAGCCTAACTTGGGAAGTAAAATGCGAAAATTAAACTTCAGAAAATAGTAGGGAATTTATAAGCTTCAAAAATTGTAATGAATGCATGGCACGGTCATCTAGAAATTATAGTCGTCCTCAAGTAATAGAAAATTCTTAGCAATATTTGCTTCTCCGAACAGATATTTTAAAGAAAAAAAGTCGTTGGGTGCCCCTAACCTCTAGAGTGACGAACTTTCCTTCGCACTGAAGACCGATCAGTTTCTACTTCAACTCCGACACCAACACGACGAATGTTTACAAAGAACGAGTTCGTAGATTCAAGTCTTTGAGCGCTACTAAATCCTATAATATGTTTATCTCAATTTACTTTTAAAAGCATGTTTTTAGAAGGAATTAAAGACTTTCTCAGTACTCACAAAATTATAAAAGTTGGGCCGACATTTTTTCACTTCGCTTCATAAGGTGCTACTCGGCGGGGCCTGGGAACTGCTAATAAACAACTAAACAAACTGAACTGATAACTTCAAAGTCGAGATCAGACCTGGGTCAGAAAATCATAAATCATAGGTAGCTGCCCTGTGCAGGCAGCAATTATATGAACGCCTGGAACAGGCTAAGCAATTAGAAACGCTTGTGAAGGCAAAACCACAACGACAAACCAGTGAGGGCGGCCGGATCTTTAGTAGACCTGGAACAGCAAAATCTTGAGTACCAAATTATAAATTTAAAGAGGAAGAGTGATAGAAAAAAAATAAAGAAAGAAAACAAAAATAAAGTGGTGAATTATATTTGCTCGATATTTCGGTTTGCAACACAAACCTTCAACAGAGACTGTAACCGGAAAAATGAATACAGATAAAAGATGAACGTTACATATGCGAGATTTGAAAACATAGCAATCAGAAAATGATAGGCTATAAATGTCACTAATTAAGTCCATCACGTCTAGTCTATTCATACCATGAGGTTCTAAAGTCTAGCTTTGTCAATGAGGTGAGTCTCGCGTGCCCGCTGACAGAGTCACGGTTGCTACAGATTAGTTCCAAGGGAGTAAGAAGGGCGTCGTTGATAGAGTGATCGGCTTGATTAAAATATTCGGAGACAGGAGTAGGATTAGGAAAAGGGCCATAGTTGAGAATGGAGCGGCGATACTCCCCAAAGCGTTGGTGAAGATGTTGCTCGGTCTGAATGTACTGTTTGCCGCATTTTTTGCATTCAATGAGATAGATAAGGATTTTGGATTTAATTAGTGGCAATTATCTTTTTAGTAGCCTAATCATTTTCCGTTTGCTTTCAAATCTCGCGTATGTAAAGTTCATCTCTTATCTGTATTAATTTTTCTTTTTAGCCCCCGTTGAAGGTTTGTGTCAAACCGAAATATCGGCAAATATAATTCACCACTTTATTTTTGTTTTCCTCCTTTATTTTTTCTATCACTCTTTCTGCTGTAAGGATCAGTTTACTGTTTTAAATTTAAAATTTGGTACTGAGCAATTAGGGCTGTCGTGTCATCATACCGCCGTCACTCGACTGTGTGGGTAACTGAGTACTAGCTCGTTCCCAGGGTCCCCCGAAGGATGAGTAGCCGAAAGCTCTCGGAAACGAAGTTGGGTATGCATTGTCTGAATAAAGCTGTTGTCAATGGCTTTCAAAAGGATTTTTGCTGGTATTAGTGACCTTTAAAGTCCGCTGCTAAAGCTTTGACTCCGAATAAGAGCTATTCAAAATGAAAAATGCTTTGCTTTTGAGAAAGCAAATGAAAACAAAGTAAGGTTGTCCCAACTAAATGTAATTAATCGGGTATAACCCTTGCAGCGCACATGGCCGAAACTAAACACGATAATTTGCCTTTTGGGGTTTACTTTAATGTATGGTCGTTATACATGATCCAGTTTTTTTATAAAGCTCCT